ATGCATTGCTGAAAGGCAGGAAAAGCAAGACAACCAATGTATCAGTGGTGTCATTTTGTGCTGCTCCAGTCTTCCATACTGAAAAAAAAAAAAGTTAAAAATCTGATAGTAAGATCAGTTCATGTCACTTGGCGTGAGGAATATTCAGCATTCTTGCACAATAAGAGTTTTGCACTGTAATCCTTAAGCCTTTATTTATTATGTTAGACCTTTTATTTGGGTGGGAGGAGAACCTAGCCTTCATTTGCTTTTCAATGCTTAAGGAATTTCCTTTTCACTTTAAATTATCTCTTGCACAACTTTGCTGCATGTTTTAACATGAAATACATCTTTCTCTTCTAGTTACATGAAATACTTTCAGTTGACCTCCTTCAGGGATACTATTAGCATCATTTAAATAAAAACAAACCACAAACTGAACTGCGATGCAACTAATTTCATCATTCTTTCATTTTGCACTGGTTTGGAGAATCCTCTCAACTTCAGTGTTACTTCACAGATGGTAAGGAGTTTTCTACATAAGTCCTTAAAGTAACTACATGTAGGTCAGTTGTAGTTGGAAGGCAGTGCATCTTCAAGAAATTAATGGGCTTTTTATACTTGAGGCATTTAATGGTGTGAAATAGCCCTGAGACTAATACCTTTCTCTTCCTTCTTCCCCTGACCCCACATACGAATTTTTCAGCATACCTAAAGCTATTCATCTTATTCTAAGAGTAACACATGTAGCATTAGCTGAATAGTTGTATCTGCTTAAAGCCTAAATACTGCTAAGTTATTGTATACTGAAGTATACAAGTATACTGTAGTCTTTGTATCAAAGTGCTGAAGCAATAGGAGCTGGTGGGTTTTTTTTCCTTTTACACACTTTCACTTTTGTTCCATTAGTTCATCTTATCTCCTAGACAAAGGCAGGTTAACCTTTCAGAACCAATCACAAAATAGAGCAATTTTACGGAGCAGTATCCAAAATCCAGTAGCAAAAATTAATGGAGTTCTGATGTAGTAAGTATTGTTTAAGTCCTTTTTGGGGCAAGGGCTACAAAAAGCCTGGAAAAGGCCTGTGAAAGTTAATGGGCATAACAGTGTTGTTTTGACTTCATGGGGTTTGTTCTCATGATTGGTCATACTACTCAGAATGCTGTGCTGAAAATATGGCAGGTCTTGATTTACCTGTCTGAATTAGAGCTAACACAGAGCTTATGTTTTTCCCTTTAAATTGTGTGCTTATCTTTTAACATGTATACAGTCTCAGGAGCTTGGTATCAGGCTGCAAATCACTAGAGGATTTTCACTTGCAGCTTTGAGACTTAATTTTATGGCATGTGATCCATGGTGAGACTAGACGAGTAGTGTCTGAGGCAAGAAACTCTCAAGGATCTTGAATTTAAGTTCTGTGTGTGTTTTGGAACCTTGATTTGTATTTATATAGGAAACAGTGTGAAGGAATGTCGTCTTCTCCAAGTTTACTTTCTACAACAGCATGCTCAGTACTGCCTACAGAATGATTTCATGTCCCTCCTAGGCTTAGTCTGTGTGTGTTTTATTTGTTTCTTGTGGCACAACTTACAACACCCTTCACGGTATTAAAATTTCCTGCTAATTACCTTCTCAGATGGTTTTGTGGACAAAATATCTTTTTTGAAAAGTGTTGACTAGTTTACACAGAGTTAAAGCAGAGAAGCTGAGTACAAAAAGAATGCCTTTAAATAACAGAGCTCTGGAAAGAGACTGTTCAGCAGTAAAAAAATATAATTAAAGTTGTGTGGTATGTCTTGTGCATGGTATATTGGCTTGCTTTGATATGGCTGAAGTTACATATTGGGCTGAAACGCTTTAAAAAATATTTAAGACTTCATCTGACTGGAATGAGATATAGGGGTAGGTTGTGATGTATAATTTTTAATTTTGTGTTTACAAACATAGGTGTTTCAGCATACCCTATGTTGTCTGTTAATATGGCTTTTAGTGTGTGTGTTTGGTAAGACTACCTGTCTTTGTCTAAAACTGTCCTATGACCTTCACTTTTCTTTCTCCTGAGGGAGTGCACCAGTGCAACAGCAAGCTACAACAGATATATAGTACGTGCATGTGTTCATACAGCTCAGGGTCTACAAGTTAATTCAACTTGTAAAGCAGTCCTGAGGTGGCATAAACACCTCTACTATGTATGTATTGATATAAAAAAAATCCTGCAAATTTTCTGTCCCACCTCACTTTGAAGTTTTTTTTTAGCATTGGTAGTCTGTGGTTTAAAAAATGGTAACTTTTTTACCATTGCCTTATTTATTTATTATTTAGTTAAAAAATGTTATGTTTTATGGAGGAAAAACATGTAATATCTGAGAAGAATTTAGATTTTAAAAAAGATTACTAGATGAGGACACTCATGACACTGACTAAGAAGAGGGGAGGTTTCACTACTTTCTGCATTTCAGAGGATGTGAATTCCTGTTGTTCAACCTAGCAAGCTTGCTGAAGGAGATGCTGCAGTGTTAAGGCTTCCCTTGGGCTGTGAAACCCAATCCATTACTGACTCTTTAAGTCTAGTAGTTCTGGTGTTGAAACCAGGCAAGTGCACATAAAATATATGCACAACAGGAGCAGATGGTGCTGTGCTAACCTGGTTATCAAAGGTGTGGATGGTGGTTTCACTATCTCATTGTATATTTTTGAAAACAATGTCACTTGGAGTATTAGCTCATAAGAGCTTTGATTTTGTTTGCAGGCTTCACCAAAATTTTAGAACTGTAAAAGTTATTGTAAGACAGGAAATAGCCTACAATGTCGTGATTGTATGCTCTTTGGGGGGATAGGAAATGGAGGGAGGGTCATGGTGGGTGTTAATAATAGAAGGATAGATGAAATTAAGAAAGTTTGGCGTTGCCAAACTGGCATTTTCCTAAACTGATAAAGCTGAAAGAGCTACTGATTAAAAAGATGTATTTAATTTACAATAGCCCTTTTTACTGTGAATCTGACAGGTGGGCAACAAAAGTCTTCATCTGTCACTACCTTCAATGTATGTCAGAATTCAGATTGAGATGATTTGAACTACAGGCTCTTGCTACTTTTTTTTCACATCTGGGAAAGGTTGAAGATATTTCTCTGTAAAATGGTACACATTCAGCGGGAACATGTATTATCCTTGTATTGTCATGAGGCTGTGTTAGACTGCTGTTTAATAGTTCTTGTTAGTAGCACAGTTGTTAGTTGTCAGCTAAAACAAAACCCTGTTCACAGACTGTAACTCAGAAGTGTCAGTACTAGTTGAGCACATAGATCGCCATTAGGTGTCTGTAAATAAATAGTCTTCTGTTCATCCCTTATGATTGGAAGGAGCAGAGGTTTTCTATATGTTAATCAAAAGTCTGCAAGAATTGCAATCACATCCAATTTCAAGATATGAGCCTGTCTTGATCATGTTTAGAGATTATTAATGGAAAATAAATATCAGTGGTTTTTAGATAAAACATTACTAACAATTGTTTAGATTGCAAGTAATGGCAAAATGAACAATTCTGGCTTGTCGTCATTGCTGCCACTGGCAGTGAAGTGAACACTTGAGGCTCCCTGCTGGTTGCTAAATGAAGGTATTTAAAGAATGCAAGTTGAATTTGACCTTTCCTAGAAGGCAGCTGGAGTCTAGTTTATTCAAGAGGGACCTGACCAACCTTGATTTCTGTGGAAGTGCTATTAGGTGTGTGTCACTTTTGCCTGGGTGTGACAGGTCTGCCTCGTTCAACTTTGTTGTGAAACACTGAGTAGAGCCAAGGCCTAAAGGCTCTCCTTGGAAGTTTGATAGGAGCCACTGAGCTGACCAAAGGAGGGTGTTTCTTCAGTGTGGTGGTGCAGGTGTGCTGTTAGTTGCATTATGTCTCTCTGCCCATAAGTAATAGCTGGGATGTTCAGTGCATGTCTCTTGCTTAGCTGGCTTCTGCACTTATGTTGTTATGGAGCACTACAATGAAAGGTATGTGATCAAGATGGTGAAAAAATGGAGTTCTTGCCTCTTTGCTAACTGGAGAGCTGAACAGTGCTGTGCCAGTTTTATACTATGTAAATCACTAAAATGAGTGAAATCACCCTATGTTAGAAAAGGCATAGTTTAAGGTAGGTAAGGCCAAGCATGGGTCCTGTGTTCAGTAACATTCTGCTTTTCACGAACCAGTAACAAGTAATTCTGTAAGCAGCTGCAGCTGTCACAGCATAGGCCATGTCAACATGCCCTGCAAGCTTACCCTCCAAAGGTGGAATTTGGCCATGGAGCATGCAGAGTGTGGTGGCAGATCTGACTGTGCTTGGTCTTACGGCAAGCTGTGGCCAGAGCCTCCCTTTGCTAAGGGAGTTGCATCCTATGGCTGTAGCAGGCTGTGATTAGAAAGTATTACTAGGTGTGATTTGCAGAACTGGAATCTGAGGCAATACTGAGGACTTCTTTAATTTTAAAAAACGGGTGTGATGCTAGGGGTTATGGTGATAGTACTGGGCTTGGTGATGTTAAAGGTCTCTTCCAGCCTTGTGATTCTATGATTCAGTGCAAAGTGCTGCAGAGCACAGGTCAAGGCCAGCCTGCTGGTGCCAGCAGCAGGCTGCTGCTGCACAGGTAGAGCTGGCGTTCGGGAATGTCTCCGGTTTGACATTGCCTGGGGCAAGGCTGCGGGAAGCACGTGGGGTAGTTGGCAAGCTCCCAGAGCCGGGTGGCGATGGGGAAGGATCAGAAGTTGAGGCGCGGGGTTTAGCGCTGGACGGTGCGCTCGAACACCCATGACTACCCGAGGAGAAGCGTGTCCCTGCCGGCGGGGCCTCGGCCATCAGTCCCCTCGTTACTCGGGGCGCTGCCGCAGCCCCGGCCCGCACACACTGACACTGGCCCCGCTCCCGGTCTCTGCCAGGGCGCGGCTCCGCCGCCGCGCGGAGCGCGAGGCGCAGGCGCGGGGCGGGAGGGCGTCGGCCGCGGCTGCGCGTACGCGGCCGTTATAGGCGCCTCCGCCAATCGCGGCGCGGGACGTTGCGCGGCGGCCCCGCCCCCGGCCCACGAAGGGCAAGGTGACGGCGCGGGGCCCACATTCGGCCTCTGCCGCAGCGGCTCCATCTTGCGAGGTGAGTCAGGGCGGCGCGGCGGGCCTTTCCGCCCAGCACCGCGCTCGCCCCAGGGTGGCGGGGCCGCCTCGTGGGTGCGGGGCTGGGGCCCGGGAGTTGTGCCGTGGCGGGGCTTTCCGGTCCCACGCCACTCTGCTCTTGTCGCCCGCCTCAGGTCGCCATGTTCTCGTCCATCGCGCCGCTCGCGCGGCACAACCCCTTCTACGCGCCGCACTTCCAGCTGGTCCAGGACGGCGTGAGGAAGCGCCCAGCGGAGCCCGCGGAGGCGCCTGCCGCGCGCCGGGAGTTGGCGGCCGCATCGGCCGCCGAAGGTGAGAGCGGGACGGAGGGGCCGCGGCGGGGGTGAGGCCCGGGGCGGCGGTGCCCGCGCTGCCCCCGCCGGCCCGCGCCTGTGTCCGCCGGGGCGGCGCAGGGAGGGTGAGCGGCCGGGAGGGGCCGGCGCTGGGCCTGTGCGTCCTCTTGGAGGACGAGGAAGGGCACGGGCGGGGGAGGCGCTGGCAGGCGCTTCTGCCCTCCTTGCGGAGTGTTCCGAGGGGCAAGAAGATTCGGAGTTACCGGGAAAGGACGTGGGAAGGTTCTAGCGCAGACTAATCACAGAGACCCCCGCGGAGTCTGTCTTGGGGAGCAGAGAGCGCTTTTTCTGTCTTTGTAGGGCCTGCAGCCTCGGTCACTGAGCTTATAGGCCCGTACTTTTTCATCCCTGGGGAAGAGCAGCGTGTGAATTTGTGGATTCAAAAGACCATGTCTCCCATCCTCTTTTCCTTTTCCTCTTATTTTTCCCCTGTTTATTCCCATCTGAACATCCAGACGTGCCTGCAGATGTTTTTGGGCTTTTTTTTCCTCCTTTTTTTGTCCTTAGCAGTTCTTGAATATACACAGATAACTACTGTTTAAGATGCGTATTAGAGTCAGGTGCTTCCCATATGTTTCCCGATCACTTTTGTGACTTCTAAAGGTCGTACCGTGATAATACTTCTAGTATCGCAAACTGGGTAAGGTTGGATGAGCCCACAATGTTTCATCTGGTCCAAGCTCCCTGATGAAGTAGGGTCATCCTAGAGCACATGGCACAGGGTTGCATCCAAATGGTTCTTAAATATCTCTTGCGATGTAGACTTCCACAATGTCTCTGGACAGTTTGTTCCACTGTGTGGTCACCTGCACAGTAAAGAAGTTCTTCCTCATATTCAGGTGACACTTCCTGTGCATTGGTTTCTGCCTATTGCCTCTTGTCCTATCACTTGGCACCACAGAGAAGAGCCTGGCCCCATCCTCTTGACACCTTCCCTTCAGATAGTTACAGACATTGATAAGGTCCCCTCTCAGTCATCTCTTCTCGATGCTGAATAGGCCCAACTCTTTCAGCCTTTCCTTACAAGAGAGATGCTCCAGTCCCTTAATCATCTTTGTTGCCCTCTGCTGGACCCACTCCAGGAGCTCCAGGTCTCTCTAGTCCAGAGGAGCTGAGAACTGGACACAGCACTTCAGATGCACCTCACTAGGACTGAGTAGAGGGAAAGGATTGCCTCCCTTGACCTGCTGGCAGTGCTCTTCCTGATGCAGCCCAGGATACCATTGGCATTCTTTGGCCCCAAGGGCACAGTTTTGGTCATGGACAGCTTTTTGTCCGCCTGAATCTCCAGATCGTTCTCTGTAGAGCTGCTTTACAGTAGGTCAGCCCCCAACCTGTACTGGTGCCTGGGGTTATTCCTTCCCAGGTGCGGGACCTTGCATTTGCCTTTGTTGAACTTCAGACAGTTTTTCTCTGCCCATCTCTCCAACCTGTCAAGGTGCTTCTGAAGGGCTGCACAGTAGTGGAGGTAGATATTAAAATTCTTTAAAGCTGTTAAAAACTTGAAAACATCTTTTCATAAAAGAAGTAAGTGGTTTCAGCAAGCTACCTCTTCTGAAGTACCGTGATTATTGAAGTGTTGTAGAGCACTTAGATGAACGTTCACGTAATATGTGAAAGACAACTCAGTATTGGATTTTACTTAATAAATTTTCAAGACATTACTTCTGGCTTTTAGTGTAGTAATCCTTTTGCCAGCTAACTAAAGCCCTAAATCACTCTTTGGTATGCTAAATATATTCAGTAGGTGCACTTATTTCTTAAAAGCATTATGCTTAATCTTCATCCTGTTTGTAGGCAGTTGTGGTCAAAGGTGGCCAGCAGATTTTAATCTTTGTAGTCTTTTCTGCTGGGTTCATTATTTCACATACCAGTTGCTTCTCTGGCCTTTGTGTTGGGAGTAGAACATGTTGCGGAAGATATCTGAGCTTCCACAAGGTCACACAAAGTCAGTACAAACCACAAGACCTTTTAAAGAGTTCAGCTCAGGGCATCAGCTATAACCCAGCTCAGAGGCAAAATGTTCTATGATCAGCTCTTGGAATTTGTCCTTAACATGTCAGATGAGTAGCAGAGATAAGAAATGGTTATTATGTAGCTGTCCCAGCAGTAGGTATATTTTTATGCTGTGTGTTTATATCTGAGTAGCTTTGGGGTAATTGTGCTAAGTCAGTGCCTAGGTATGTTAGAATGACTTTTTTGCCTCTGTACTACGTGTTTAGAGGTCTCTTCACAGGTAATGGTTTTTAGGACATTCTCAAATAGAAAGTCTGAGATGTACTACCACAAACTTAGATACCACTAAGAACTCCAGCCTAATTGATACTGGCTTGCTTTTCTTAATTGCTGTTTTTGAACACTGAGCTGACAGGTCAGCCTGAATAGCATTGTGATACAGCACATACCTAAAGCTCTACTTTTCTGTGGCTACTACAGAGGTCTCTCTCTGTTAGTTCAGGAGTGTGACTTCTAACAGTAAATTACTGTGAAAAAGGGACTGTGAACAAATACTTCTGGTATCTGGGCAGTATGATAACTAGTGAAGTGCTGTTGTGCTGCAGGTGAAAGAGCTGGACAGAACTACCCCATACAGATCTAGAGTCTGTTCCCTGATTACACCTGCACAGAAAGCCTGGTCTGTGTATGTTTAACCTGTCGTTCTGGAGAGTTGTAAACGGACTACTGCTGTCTGCAAATCTGCCAGCTTAGCCAAGCTATTTTGGCGGTTTGTGTAAGTCCCAGGCTGGCATATTTGCAGTCTTGAGCAGAATCTCAATTGACTGTTAACTGATGTCTAGCTTTAAGTTTAGGCTTAATGTGCTGTCTGTGATTTGGTATTTGTTATTTTAGAATAAAGAAAAAATGATATTGTATTGATTTGGTAATTAATTTTAAAGAATTAAGTGAGAAATGTGAATTTAAAATGTAATATATCTGGAAGATTTGGAGGAAGAAGTTCCCTTAAAATAGCAAAGTCATGAGCTGGATAAGCTTGCTAGCGTTAACTGCTGCTCTAGTGATACTGTTAAACATAATTGTAAATTTTTGTTGATGTTTGTAAAGGAATTTATTTCAGAATCAAAAAGAGAGTGAAGAAGCTTTGCATGAGATAGGTTTTTGCTGTCTTTTGGTTTTCATTAGTGTTTCTGTGGAGATAGTTCTTACTAAGTTGGTGTAACTTTAATGACTTCCATTATATTCAAGTAACAGCAATGGATGTAATAGCAAAAGATAATGCCCTTTTACTCAGGGAAATATTTTCTATGTAGTGTATTGTTTTCTGGATGCTTTTGTTTTTGCTTATATATTTAAAATGTTAAGCATGGTTGCAGAACTGTGCTGCTACTTTATCCTTATTTTGTACTGTTAAATTTTAAACTTGAATGAACAAGCTGTATATAAATTTGAGATTCTGTATTTGAAAGAAAATAAAATCTGTATAATCTGAAAAATACCTGCAAATACAGCTGCATAAACAAAATTCCAACACTGATCTTGTAGATCCTTATAAGTCTCTACTTAAATACAGAAGTTACACTGTCATAAAATATTTAACCAAAGAAGCTTTGTCTCCTGAGTACTAGAGGGAATTGTTGGACATTGCAACTTTGAGTCATAATTTCTATTAGCAGCTTCTGGGATTAATTTCTGTGGTTTAAGTGTGTTGTGAACTAAAATTTCACTTTCTTCCATTGTTTGTTTAAAGGAACAAATTCAATTTGGAAGGCTTGGAATCAAATCTTGCCAGTCTAAAAGGTGGTAATTTAAAGCAAGGGAATTATTTCTGTGTATAACAGTACATTTATACTCCCATAAACTTAAATGGGAGTTTATTTCAGTTTAATACTTCTGAGAAAGTAGCACTCAGTCAATTTTGGTTTTTTTCTGACCTTTGTTACCATTTGTGATTGATCATATATATGTAATTTTTTCCAATTAACTAGAATACAGCTGTGCCTATGGCTCAAACAGATTCTTTATGCTTTGTGGCCTTGGTGGGATTATTAGCTGTGGAACAACACATACGGCACTGGTTCCCCTAGACCTGGTTAAATGCAGAATGCAGGTTTGTTCTGCATGTCAGTATGTGATGACATTGACAAAGCATGTTTAGTGTGGTATATTTAATCTACTAATGAATTGGAGACATAAACTATACCTTGGACATCATTGTCCAACAGTGCATGGAGTTTATATAAAAGCATGGTGTGTCTTTATTTTTTGCTGCAGAATACAGTTGTGAATATGGCTCGCTCAAGTTTTATGCTCTCTGTGGCGTTGGTGGGGTCCTAAGTTGTGGCCTGACACACACTGGTGTTGTCCCCCTGGATTTAGTGAAATGTCGTATGCAGGTTTGTATAAACTTAAATGTTTCTTGAACTTTTTCTTCTATATAGACAGAATATTAACAGTTTGCAGTAGGGATGCACTCTTTTCTGGATGACAGGAAGTGAGTAAACTTGAATGCTACTTTATCAAATCTGCTGCTGTGAGACTAGCAAAATACCACTTTTGAGAGAAGCAAAGGTATTTAGGATAATCTGGATGAATTATTTTTGATGACATTTAAGGCACATTTAACTGACTATATTTGCTAAAAGGAACCCAGCACAGTGTTACTCTTGGCTGGCTGGTTGCTGTCTAGCACTATTCCAGTGCTTTTGGAGTAGGAAAGTAGTATCTTTGGTGTTCTGCAGATCTGGATTTTAGCCTGGAGTGACATGCATGTGTAATTTTATCCATTAACACTGTGGATATCAGTGCATGGCTTATGGATTGGATATTTTCTAACAATGCCACTTTGAGTAGAATGGGTAAAACTTGATTTGGTATCAGTAGGGCCATGGGTACTTGCAGCTGGTTTCCTTGAAGTGCTTCTTGGTTGACCTGAAAGGAGTGTCATTGCATTGCACCTAATTTGTGATACCAACTTTGCATTAAAATCATTTGGTGAACAGCCATGGCTAAAAGCATACAAATGGATTTTCTCAGGCAAATCTACAAGAATGAAGCAAATTAAAGCACACTTCTAAATTTCTGGAAATATGGTAGTTAATGACTTCTTGTAGCCTAGACTGACACCGATTAAAAAAATTGGCAATTTTGTAATTATAAAACTTTTGAAATTAGGAGGGAACTATGAATTAGTCAGACCTACTGGTCACAGTAGGAGTACTGCATGATATTCTTTAAAATTGTGTTCTTCTGGATGGCCTTTATTTAGCATTGTTTACCAGAGATGCTTTTTCACATACTTAAGCACCTGAAATTCTGGTCTCAAACTAGAAATTCTATAACACATCAGAGATGCTTGGCTTGGGCTTACCAGTCCTGGGTTTCTTACATGGTAGGGGTGGTGATACTTCCCTCTCCAGCACTTAAGGGGATGTTCAGGAGGGCGGGTTTCATGTGAATTCCAGGTATGATCTTGTAAAACCTGTCAGCATTTATCTCTTTACAGATCCAGTACAAAGCATGTTACTAATCCTTCCTAAGTTCTCCAGGAAGAAACCTGTTGCCTGCCCTCTCATGTCTTTTTAAGAAGAGGTCACCTTTGCAATGGTTTAACTGAAACCAGGACACCTGTTACATAGCTAATGTAACTTGACTTGAACGTAGCCTCATTTTACAGTGTGCCCGATAATATATCCAGTTTTCTGAAATAGTCTCTTTTCAAAATTGACATGTTTAGGTGAAGTAGTTCTTGAGTAGGTTGCTGCCAGACTGCAAGACACATGCAGGTTGGCATGTGTGTCCTATAGCTTTTCCTGAAAGCTTTGATTGGCTTTCAGTTTGATACCTCCCTTCCTAATGCTCTGAGGAACTGTTGGATGATGTCAAATATGCAAAGTAAAAGTGTGATGTGACTTAATTACCTCTTTAAGAATTTCTGTTAAATTATTTCCTTTCACATGAAACAAAACTATTCAAGTCAATCTTTTTTTAATTTCTGAAAAGTTAATGAAATTTCAAAGTTTTATGGGCAGAAAACAATTTGTATGTAGCCTTGTACTTTGACTTCACAGTAAAGTGTAGAAGTTGTTGAGTACTCTTTGATCCCCATTGCTCCATCTGTCTTTGACTGTGTGTGGGGCATCAAACTGAAGGTGGGCAGAGAACCTTTTCTGATTAGGAATCAGGTGAATCATCAGGTTTGGTTTGTGGCGACACTTGAGTGTATGTAGATGTGACATATAGAGTGGATGAGATTGCTCACAGGAGCTATCAATTTTTTAAAGAATCTGATCTATACATAATTGCACCATATTACCTCTGACAGTGTTAGAATAGTGATTTCAGTAAATCTGTTAGTTATAGTTGTATTGTTAACTTGGAGAATAAGTGTAAAACAAAATTCAGACAATTAGGTGATTCCTGAGTGTTGAGGCTGTTAAAATAAGTCAGAGTTTGAGACCAGCAAGTAACCATTAAGTTAGATTAGTTTAACTTTGTGGTGAGTACATCATCTGTCCAGGGAATTTTAGGAAGCCAGCTGTCTGAGGAATTTAAAAATTTTAAATTTTTGATGGGGGTGTGAGAAGGGAAATGGTAAGCTATATCAAGTATTTAACTGCCTATTCTGTTTAGGTTGATCCACAAAAATACAAGAGCATCTTCAATGGATTTTCAGTGACAATCAATGAAGATGGCGTTCGTGGCTTGGCTAAGGGATGGGCTCCAACCTTTATTGGATATTCCATGCAAGGGCTTTGTAAATTTGGTTTCTATGAAGTTTTCAAAATCCTATATGGCAACATGCTGGGAGAGGTAAGCCTTAAGTAATTTTTGTAAGGCTATATATCTACAATATAATAGTAATGTGGAGTAATCACAGAAGCATGATTCATTAATAAAAATGTGTGTTCACATTCACTTCAGGAAAATGCCTATTTGTGGCGTACTTCACTATATTTAGCTGCATCTGCCAGTGCAGAGTTTTTTGCTGACATTGCTCTGGCTCCAATGGAAGCTGCTAAAGTTCGTATTCAGACACAGCCTGGATATGCAAACACTCTGCGTCAAGCTTTACCTAAAATGTTTGGAGAAGAAGGCATCTGGGCGTGAGTATCTCTCAGTTTTAATTTTTATTCAGGTTCTTGATGTTGAGTATTTTTTCTTAAGAACTGTTGCTTTAACCAATTCTGGCTTTAGCTTATAATACGTTTTGGTCTTTGTATTTTAAGATAACAACATACTTCAGGGAATATGTGTTGAACTGGCTGTTAATGCCACATGCTCCTTAGATCCATCTTTGTGAGTATCTTTGTGCTGAGTTCTGCTGGATAACTTCAGTTTCTAGCAGTTCCAGTCAGAGATATTCGGCAACTTTCTGGTTGTACAGTCAAAGATGCTTGAGTCATTGGCATGTGAGAGTAACATAACTGCATGTTAGCTTTCTGTTCTGATAGAATTGGCTGTAGATATACAGGTCATTTCTCACTATCAGGACTTGGCTGGTATGCAGACATTAGCCTTACTGCACTGGTAGTATCAGTACTACATTACTGCAGTGCATTGTAATCCAGAAAGTGACTACAGAAACTGCTGTGCAGCCTGGCTATCAGGAAAAGTCTAATTTGTGTTGCTATTTTAAGGTAGTACTCAGGAACTAATACAACTTAAATTTCTGTTCTGTAGGTATTGACAGCCTTACAATATCAGTATTTAGAAGCTTTATTCTTGATAACGACAATAAGCTAATTTATTTCAAGTTGGAAATGTACCTTAAATATTGAAGAAAACGAAACTGAGTTTGTCTCTTCTCTGATTAAGTTTCTATAAAGGTGTTGCTCCACTATGGATGAGACAGATTCCATACACAATGATGAAATTTGCCTGCTTTGAACGTACTGTGGAAGCTCTCTACAAGTATGTTGTTCCCAAGCCACGAAGTGAATGTACAAAAGGAGAACAGCTGGTAGTCACATTTGTGGCAGGCTATATTGGTAAGGAATCTTTAAGTCCTACACTTCATTAATGGACTACTGCAACTCTAGAGTCCTGTCCCTTCTCAGAATATTAAATGAACGTCACTAGCATGGGAGAAATTACTTTGAACTTAAATATGTGCAGGGGAAAAAACTATATTCGGTCTGTTAGTGAAAAATGAGTCTGTAATAGGACAATACTCTTAATTGTTCCTGTATATTACCAGTGTTGATGCCCAGGTTTAGGAACTGCAGCTGATTTAAGTGAAAAACTTGCATCTTTGTTAGTGTCAGGAAAGTTGAAAGGAAGGTAAGAGAAATTTGGATGGAACGAGGCTTTTCAATATCCAAAGATTCGGAAGGATTTTTTAGCAAAAGAGTTACTACAATAGCAGAACTGAGGTATTTTCTATTCACATCACATTATCATAGAATCATAGGATCATTTAGGTTGTAAAAGACCTTTACAATCATTAAGACCAACCGTTACTCCAGCACTGCCAACTCTACTAGTGAACTGTATCCCCGAGTGCCACGTCTACACGTGTTTTAAGTACCTCCAGGGATACATCCAGGGATGGTACCTCTAACGCTTCCTTTGGCAACCTGTTCCAGTGCTTGACAACCCTTTTGGTGAAGAATTTTTTCTTAATATCCTATCTGAACATCCCCTCGTGCAACCTGAGGCTGTTTCCTCTTATCCTGTTGCTTGTTTCTTGGGAGAAGAGATGGATTACAACCTCCTTTCAGGTGGTTGTAGAGAGTGATAAGGTCCCTTCTGAGCCTTCTTTTCTTCAGGCTAAATAATCCCAGCTCCCTCAGTTGCTCCTCAGGAGACCTGTAGATCTTCATCAGAGTCCTTTTAGGATACCAGAACATGATGTCTGTGCAATTCATTAGGAGGCGTGGTTTCAGCTGGTTGTAGTTAGTGTACACAGTAATGGTACAGCTAAAACACCACAGAACTAATGTCAAATTATTCTTTCAGCTGGTGTGTTCTGTGCAATTGTTTCCCATCCTGCTGACTCAGTGGTGTCTGTGTTGAACAAAGAAAAGGGCAGCTCTGCTTCACAGGTTCTTATGAGGCTTGGATTCAAAGGTACATCCTTACTTTCATGTATTTTGGATCAAGTGCTTGTGGTATTTTGGGGAGGATTTCTATTTTTCCTGTCATTTTATGCTACTCATGCTTAATGTTTTGCTCTGCAGGTGTATGGAAAGGTCTGTTTGCTCGTATCATTATGATTGGTACCCTGACTGCACTACAGTGGTTCATCTATGATTCTGTCAAGGTTTATTTCAGACTTCCTCGCCCACCTCCACCTGAAATGCCAGAGTCTCTGAAGAAGAAGCTTGGTCTAACTGAATAGACAACTCATGGACTGACTGCTCGCTGTCCCAGTGATGAGTTTCATGAAACTTTTATATATTTGACTATGTAGAAAACAAACTCTATATGATGTCATTATTGGCTGTGCCCTCATCTCACATGAGGGTTTAAATTCAACCACTGTCATTGCCTGAAATAAATGAGAAACAGAGTGCTTAGTGTCTGTTTACTACTGCATATGTAAGCTTCATTTCGTAGCAGCAAATATGTCAAATACTCTCCCTGCTTTCCTCTCCCCCCCAAAAAAAAGTTTAAAAAAATTACCAGGTTCTACACATTAGGAATCAGAGAAGTGTTACTCTTCCACTTGTAACAAAACTAGGCTTTCACTGTTTCCAGAGAAGTGCCAAAACGTGTCCTTGTAGAACTGCAGAAACAAACTGCAGTCTTGTGCACTTTGAGTCCACTGATCATTTGCCTATAATAAGCTGTTACTGTAGAATACTTGAACTCCTGAGTAGCTGAGATGAGACTGCAGTCTGATAGGGCATCCTGGTTGTAATACTGGTGTTCCCCACAGAGATAAAAAGAACCTTGTACATCCTAAAGCTGTTTCTGCCTTCGGATGGTCATCCCAACTTAACTAACTTATGCTTACTTGACTGATTTTTGCTTCTCTTGGCTTTGAACCACACCAAAGAACTTGGTCCTTCTGGTTGTCCTGTGGAATTAAACCTCTTTAACTAAAAAAAAAGCTGATGTTAATAAAGATTTTCAAATATATTTAACCACTAAAAGCTTAATTCAGCTTTCCAATAAGATAAAAATGGCTTGTCTTTTATTCGAGAGTTGGAAAAACTTGCCAGCTTTTCCCTACATTTGCTATGGGTGTAGTTTTTAATTTTTTTTTTTTCTGAATCAGTTTAATGCTGAGCTTTGGTTGAACCATGCACTTTTGCAGGGCAAGGAGTCATACCATTTTTTTTTTTTGGACCCTGCTGTGCAGAAATCTAGGTTCCTAGGCATGCAAGAGGAGACAATCGTGCAGTCTTTTACTGAAGAATGATAACACTGCCTTCTGCATTTCACTTGTTCAGTAACCCACAGTATATAATCACTTCACCCTCTCCAGTACTACTTTGTTCACATAGTAGAGCTGGAGCTGAAATTTCTTTTGTGCAAAACTGTGGATATTATCTGCCTTTCAGCATGTGAGCTGATAATACTGAACTTACATTGGCACTCACATATGTTGTACTGTTCCTTCCTCTTTACTTGGTTCCTTCAGAGCCAAAAGGACAATTAAGGCAGGTGCCATTGGAATAGCATAAATATACTGACTGCTGCCTTTTGCTGGAGTCTGATGTGCCTGCTATTGTTTTGCTTAGCATCAAGCTTCTCACCCCTTGGGAAAACCCTCCAACTTCCAAGATTTTGATGATTATACTGAACAAGAAAGATAGGCCTTATTTTGAATTGCTACCTTTCAGAATGTGGAATAAAATCTAAAACTTCTCCATTTCCCTGTCACCAGGACAGTAATAAAGGCACTCTTAGAGTGGCTGGTATCTTAACTGTGTTACACAGCAAAGTCAAATACCCTAAGTCTAAACAAAACATTTGTGCAAGTACTTTGGTGTTGAATTAAAATTGTTTAATGATAAAAGTATGTAAATCTTGTTTCTTCATAGTGAGTGGGAAGCTTTGAAGTTATTTAATGAGTCATGCTTCTAAGAGCTTTCTTGGAGAAGAGCCTTTAGTATGACTTGATCTTGTATCAAGACCATAGATGTTAAATCAGCTTTTGAAGTTAACTTACGTGTGTGGTACAGCTTGTTAGAAAAAAAACAGTATCACTTTTGTGTACTGAATATCAGTTTCTTTAAAAGCATATTTTAACTCAGTAGATATTTCTTTTTTTGCTGTAAAACATCTCAAGTTCCTTCTAATTCTGGGGGAAGTGAAGCACTTCTGTCAAATTTTAAGGCTGGCAGAAGAGTGAGACAAGCTTGGCTCGTGCAGTGAGGTAGCCTGATTGTCAAGCAATCCAATGCTGAGCTAAATTTCACAAGACTGCTTCTTATTGTTCTATACAGTGAGCAAAATCGTACAATTTTTCCCTAGAATAGGGTCAACATTGCGCAGTTTTTTTGCACAGTAATAGGAGAATCTGAAGTCTGTTTTCTCATTGCTCAAGGGTAGACCTGAAACTGTCCTTTTAAAGATGCTCAGATTTATCAAGGTAGATCTGAGACTACAAGAAGCAGCCAGCAGTTCCTCTTCTGAGAAAGGGAAAATATACATAGTGATCATTACAGTGTTGTGTTTCAGTGGAAAACTCAAGAGGGGGAGAGAATTGTCCTGCAGGTGCTGGCTTCATTGACATTCAGCCATAGGCTTGCTCAGATGCTTGTTCAGAAAGGGTTTGACATATAAAATGTTTCTTAAAGTTTCTTAAAATACCTGCTGGTATTTTAAATAAGCTTCAGTGGGAAAAATGTAGTATTAAAATGCATTTAAAAGGTCAACTTTGTAATTGATAACTGCTTTGTGCATAATGCCTGGTACATTTTCTGAAGGCTGGGAAGCTGGGGCATGGGAGCAGTGGTGCCTTTGATGGACTCGCTCTTCCATTGCAGGGCAAGTCCTGTATCGAAAAGGAGCACTCCATTTTGAACTACCGACCCATCACTAAACCCCAAAGTGCTTTGTAAAACATGGATTGTGTATATGCTGCTTGTGTATATTTTATGAATGACAAAACATCCTTTCTTGCTGGTTTTGGAGCTGAGATGAGTTTTCTGGTTTAAAGCATATAGTTCTATAAATTTGGAATAACAACTCCATTCACACACAGTATTTGTATCAGGTTGTACTACAGATCAAATGTGCTGATACTTGCTGAAATGTTTGTTGCATATCATTTTAAAATGGGCTGTAATAATAGAAATAGTTGTAATTAATTTACATTTCTATATAGAAATGATGTAGTTCACAGTGAAAACAATAAACATCCTGCTTTTTTATAGCAAATACGAGTACCTTGGGGAGATGAGCTTACTAGCTATGTGGCTTTGTTACAGAATACGATTTTTGTAACTCCAGGTGATGGGGAGAAAGATGTTGCTAGCAGGAAATTCTTGGCTGAGCAGGTGTTCTGCTGTCTAAAAGTAGATTTTAATGTTTTGGGATTACTTTGCTCATGTAATTTTTCATTGTTGATTACTTAATGCTGTTGCTGGCTTTTGGGTTGGTTTTTTCCTTGCAAGTTGCTGACAAGAATATTAATTGACCAGTTTTGTACCTACAGACTAAATTGAAAGCAAAGATCTCCTGAATGTCACTACAGTTGGGGTCCATGGGATGATCTGTTTTAAGTACTATAGCTGTAATTTTCATTATTATCTGAATCTCTCAATTACTTGGTAAAATTGGAGAGAGTATCTGTGAGTGACCCTAGAAATGAACTTAGTAAGGAGTTGTAGTTTTCCTGAGCTGATAACTCTCCCCACCACTGACAGTACTAAAATAAGGTGAGTTTAGCAGTCTGCTTCAAATTTTTGAAAAATACTTCACTCTCTGCCTCACCTTTTCTACTGTAGAAAGAGCTTTGCCTCTGTCCTTAGCAGTGTAATTGCAAAACTACTCTTCAATTTTTTTGGTACAGTGGAGGTGTGTGCTTGAAGGGCAAATGGAGATTTGTAATACTTGTGCAGATTATGGGAGAATTACTGATTTCTCTCCTTATATATGAGGACAACATGTGGATGTGCCAACATTAGATCAAGATTTTTTTAAAATAGTTTTTCCAAGTAATCTTTATTACTTAAATTTTTTCTCTTGCTTGCAGCAGGAAAGGTTTCTGAAAGGATCATAATGCTTTAGACTTGCACTTCCTGGGAAGGAAGGGTGTGTGGTCTGCATACATCTGAAGGGAAAGGGAAATTAATGGTCCTGTAACACTTTTTGGATCCTGAACTTGCTGTAGAGACCATGCACAGGGCCGTCTACTCTGCTTTTTCCTGGTAGATGTGTTCTAGAATTTGGAGGTTATTCATTTGGGGGTTGAAAGTGAAATCCACAGTTGTTTATCCTGGCTTATTTTCTGGTTAATGTTCCAAGGAGAGAGTGCTCTTTTCCTGCAGACAGACCTCTGTTGTCTCAAGACTGCTCTGATTAACGGTGCGGCTGGAGCATATTTTCCACGTCACTTGTGTAGATAGCACTCTGCCGGTTGTCCAGTTCTGCCTCTCCAGATTTTTGCTGGCTACTGACAACAAATGGTGCATTCATAACATTGAAAACAAAATAAATGAAATTACTGTAGCCCATGATGCTGTTAATCCACTGGTAACTGTGAACTGCATTGTATGGGTCACAGCGAAAGACGTGCAGAGTGCATTTCTCACTCCGCTGTATCTGTGTTCCTTTTGTAACCATGTCTGTTGTGCCAAGTGCTCTCCTTGATGCAACATGAGCTTGCACGCTAAAATAACCAAAATGGAGTTAGTGGATTCACTGAAGAGCAAGCTTTAATATACAGATGAGATATATTTATTATGTAATCCTCAAACTCTTGTGGTGTATGTGCATATATATTTTTTGAGGTATACACAACACATGCTTTAGCATGGCTGACCGTTCTGGCTGTTGAATTTTCTGTCTCCTTTAAATGCCATTTGGTTATTTTTAGGGGCTCACTTAAGAATTGTGTGAAAGAGCAAAGGGACAGGAGTTGGTAAAGGGTGTCTGTGGGTGCTTTCTAGAAACATTTGTCTTTTGACAGGTTTATTTTTGTGGTCTGTCAGGTGGACTGGAAAGGGGTAAAAAAAAATTGGGAGATAGCAATAGACCTTTACCAAAAAGAGGAAGATTTTAAACGAAATATTTGAGGTTGACTGAGGGCAATGAAGGGGTATGGAAGACCAGCAACATGAAGCTGACCAAAAGACATGGAATGCTGAATGAGGATGAGAATGGTGAGAGAGAGGAATGGTTATATTTTCCATTCAATCAAGAGTCTAGTAGCTACAAGATGTTCAGGTATGACCAGCTAAACAATTGAGAAGTTTTAAAGGCCTTACCATATACTTACACTTCTTGATATAATTCCATTTACAGGGATTTTTTGAGTTGCTATATTGCTCCTAATAGGTTTTTATAGTAATTTCCTATTTAATGCACTTTCCCCCTGCCCTTCATCTGCTAAACCCATTCTCACTACGTTGTTACTTCAGTCTACTGCCTACTCCATTTTCAAATGTCCCAGATCTCCTGTTCTTCAGCACAGAAATACTGCCAGTGGCTCATATCAGTGTAGCCTTTTGGGATGTAAGTAGCTTCTCTTGGCAATTCTGCTACTCACTGTAGTATTTTGCAGACTAAGAAATAATGAATGAATAACTGTTAGGATTCCTGAACAGACACCATGACACTGGGATAAAGCCATCAGCAGGGTTAACAGGTCTTTCAGAGCATTGTCCCTATAGAGATTCTGTGTTTTAAAGATGAATAGTGCTGCACAGTAATTACGATTTACAACTATAAAGCCTCACAGAAAACCTTATACAATTTACTCTATCTGATTGTGTGACAAACTTTTTGCGAGGCATCAGCAATATTTCTGGGCATTGCTTGATTCACTGCATTTACCTCATTAAATATTATTAAAAAAGAAACCACTTTAGTTTACAAAAATCATAGACTGAATATATTGAGACAAATTGCTATTGCTGTTTGACTAACTCTTGTTTTGCTGGAAGCCACAATTTTATTTCCGCCTTTGGAGCAGGAAAGGAAAACTGAAGATCTGTCAGTCTTGTGTACTGCTTTTTTCATGAAAGCAAACTCCAAAGCTAAGAACATAATTTTGTGTTTTAACACTGCTTTATTGTACAAAACAAGCAATTTATTAAATGTAGCATTTGTCATTCTTCAGAAAGACAAATACATGCAGAGAGACATCGGTTTTGCTCACTTTATAACTTCTCCCTTGAAATCAGTATGACTTTTTCCTGTCCTTTTCAAAGGAATAGGACAAACCTCAAGTTTGAGTGTGCTTCTAAATGAAGCCTTTAAATATTGTCTGTCTTCTTAGTACTGCATGTGATGAAGTTAACAACTCCTCAAACACTTTTCTTTAGGCAGTGGCCTTTCAGTGATCAGTTCATGTCTGAGATCTTGGTTATTTCATCTTTCACATCCTTGGTCTCAGTTTGAACTCTTGTTAGATTGGCCAATTTCTCATTCAGTAAAGCAATTTCCTTTTCCCGTCGTAGTACCTCCTCCACTAATCTTCCAATTCTCAGCGTTAGGTCATTTATTAATGGCTCCAAGACAGCAAACTCCTTTTTAACTTTGTACATCTTGGGTTTTAAATCATTTGCAAATGTAACTGTCTTCAGAACTTTTGCTCTGTCACCTTCAAGATTCAAAAGTCTATCTGAGTGCTTGTTAAAATCACTCCTTAACTCAGACAATGCCGTCTTCATTTGCTCAATTTTTCTTGCATTACTGGATGCCAAGCTTTGTATTTTTGTACTTCGGTCAATGCTACTGGTAAGGAGGTCACCTATATTTTTTACTGTCGTCTTTTCACCTTTTTCTACTTTATCTTCTAGTGCTTGCAAAGAATCTGTCAGTGCAGTCACTTCTGAGACTAGGCCTGAAATGCGCCTTATGTCAGTTTTTACTGTCACAATTGTCAACGTTATGTTTTTTGCTACAGAAGCTGCATTCTGTTCAATGCTTGAAACTGCATGATAAAGGCTTGTTAAATTCTTCTGCAGTTCTTCTTGTTTTCTAATTATGCTGCTAGACCATGTTTTCATTGTATAAATATCTTCCTGCAGATGCTTTATGTGAGAAATTATTTCAAGATCTTCCAGCTGTTCCATTAAGTTCCAAGCCTTTTCATACTAGAGAGATACAAAAATATATCTAGCTTAACAACTCACATCATAATTCAAGCTATATCAAATGAAATATCTTACTATTCTGATATTCAAATTGAGTGCAAATCCTGTCTCTAGGAAATCAACTTTTGTTGCAACACAATGAAAACTTTTTTTCCTGACAGTATACATAAAAAATGTTACTACTTTTTCTATTACAACAAAAAATTACAGGAAGGTGCTATATGATTTTCTCACGTGACCTCTGAAAACACAAGTCATCAAATGCAATCTTCTTCCATTTATAGGAATTTTTGTAGTAAGTCTCCCTAAAAGCTACTTTAATGAGAGAACACTCATGCTATTGTTGGATTTTTGCCTGGATTTGCTAGTTCACTTTTTTGTTTTTAAATGACCGGTTCTTAGTTTTTAAATTTGAGAGGAAGAAAGGAAAGTATGTGAGTGATACTATCCTGTTCAATCCCCAAAAAGTCAGGGTAGAACTTGGAGAGAAAAAAACCACCAAATGGGCAAGTTGAAACACATTCTAAGAGGCTATCATTAGTTTCATATTAATCCTTTTCTGGATGCTAGCAGTAAAAATACCACCAAAGAAACAAATACTTTTAGCTCTTCAATAGTGTTGGTCATTCCTCACTAGCTCAGAACTGTCTGCTCAAAAACAAAAGACCAAAATTGTGGAAAGTTGTGCTTGTTTCCTAGCTAATGCCCTCTAAGGATGAGGATTTCCTGTTCAAATTCCTGTACATTCAGGTTTCAATAATGTTAAGGTTGATAATCTAGCCACCCTTCCCCAAAAAGATATGAAGTAGAAACACTGTAACTTGAACACACTTCAGAAAAGTATTTAAAAAACATTTCTTTACAGAATAGTTTTTCTTAATGGGACATGGAACACTAAAGTATTTACTCTGTACCCTTTCCAAAGGAGCAGTTTATTTTGAATTAGATTATGTACCAGGACAGGACAATTCACTACAATGTATTTTTATTTTGAATATGACTGTAAAAGACACAAATTTATACATAAGCAATAAATATATGAAACTGACACAGCTTTATAACATTGAGAAATGCTGGTTTCATAGTCTCTTGCATGGGTACTTCTGCCTGTTTAGTGAAGATTTCAGAGGAGTTCTAGAGAGACGAATGTACAAAATCAGAATAATTTAATTTAAGTCTGATTAAGTCATAAATATTGTGGGTTCACACTGTCTCAACTAAGCAAACTACTTTCCTGAGTTCAGAAATACAAAATTATCAAGATATAAGTCTGTAGACAAAAAAATTATATTGTCCCTGAGATCCAAATTTCAATGAACAGCTATTAGGCCTATTAGGTAATGTGTGTAAGTAGATCTATGGATAAACTGGATATTCCCTGATCCCAAGTACTTAACTCCGTGGATTTCATTAATTACTTTTGCAGCTCTTGGTTCAGCAAACTTTGGGAAACAATGTCAGTGGCACTGTTAATTTTTTTCCCTTTGAAATGCAAAGCAATACCAGACATATAATGTAATGCCTAACAGAGAACATTCTACAGAATAAAAGGTTAAAATTTGTTTCTAACAGCACCAAAACAAACAAATAACCCCCAAACTAATACAGTGACTGATCACACCAAACTTGTAAATTAAATGATGGAAGAAGAATCTAACAGGAATATCTGTTAATAAGAACTTTAGTCTATATGTAGTTCAGTGACTTCAATGGCAGAACAAAGCGATGCCAGTGATTTTAGGACATTTGAAAAGGCTGGAAATGAAGTCTAAGGAGAATATTTTCATGGGGTCAAAGAAATGATAGCACCAGCTGCTATGTAAATACCAGCTGCCTATAAATACAAGACAACGTTCTCAGTAGGGGATTCTTCACTAGTGTTTTCTGTAATGCTGTAGTAGCTAAGCTTCAGCTGTTAAAAATGTACTCAGTGCTTTCCTGCACATAATAAAATACGTAGATCCCAATAGCAATTCTCACATTGAGAAGCCTGCACCATAAGCACAAAACCGTTATGGTATACAATACATTATAGGAAGGTACATTACTGAGAAATAAGTCATTAATTGTTCATTGTGTTACAAGTCCATGGAAAATAATACAAAAAGTAATAACAACAGAAACTTAAGTAATGAAAACTAAAAATATTACTTTTTTTTCCCTTAAATCTAAACACTTTGCTTCAAATTCCTTAAATGAAAAGGATCTTTTAATAAATAAGCTGAATATAATTCTTAATTTAAGAAAATATTTCTTTCCTTTTTCAACACAGTATGGCTTGCTCTCTAGCGTCTTTATTATAAGTTTGCCTTTCAGGCTAATCCAATGTCTGTTTAAATTAATGACAGTATTTCCGCTATCCTTAACGTACACTGAAATCACATTATTTATAATAAAGTGCTTTTTCATCAATGAAAAACCCAAGTCTAAATTTACTTATCCCCCTTCTGGTCATCTCCTAAGTTATAGCTTTCTAAAGTTACTCCTTTTGCTTTTGAAGATACTGTTATGTCAGGCACTACTGTTTCTAAAGCTGCTATTTCATGTTGCCCTTTCAGCAAGCTGCCATTGTACTGTATGCCTTCGAGAACCTCTTGCATCGCCATTGTATCAGAAACCGTTTTCAACATATTATTTTCCACAGTGAACAGCTGTGTTGTCAAGTCCTGTATCTTTTTCTCCATACCTAGCAATTCACTCGACAATCTAAGAATAGAATGAATAGCATTTTCAATTGTTGGCAAATGGGTCTTGCACTCCTCAATTTTAGGTTCATAGTTTGCAAGTTTCTGATTCAGGTCTGTGTCCTTGGCTACCAGACTATTCTGTTCTTCTTCTAGCTTTTCAACTGCCTTTGCATGCAAGTCCAACTTGTGTTCAACTCTAGAGAATTCATCATCTTCTTGCGTTTTTACTGTTCTAATATTTCTGGCTGTACTGTCTTCCAAATCTTTTACTCTTTCTGAAAGGGATTTAATTCTTTGGTCAACTTCATTAATTTGGGAAGTAACTTCTGTATGTATGAACTTTGCTTCAGATTTTAAACCACTAGTGTTTGTATTCATTTCATCCAAGCTTCTTCTCCATGAATTTGTAACATTTTGGAACTTCTTATTAATGCTCTGCATCTTTAGAGAAAGAGTCTGTTCATTGTTCTTAATATCATTTATGATGTTACGAAGAGAAGATATTTCCTGCTCAAACTCAGTCATCACAGAGATGGATGAAGCAGCTTCTTGCAGGACACTTTCAGAAGATGCAAGCTGCATTTATAACACAAAACAATGTCCGTGTCTACTTAACGGAAGTAAGAATAGAAAACAATTTCCATTTATTTAAGAGAGAATAAAGTCCCTTAAAAGCCACTGTACTTGTTACAAAGGTCCTATATGATTTTTTCATATTTCATCTTTAAAATATTGTTCATTAACCTATCACAAAAAGCTCAAGTAAAAAGGTATGTCTATTGTTGCATTTCTATAGAATATATGCCGTTTTCTTTGTTGTCAATCCCTTGTTTCCATGTTTGTTTTTTGCATGTAGAATACAGTAAATGCCATGCAACATTTTGCAATCTTAAGTGTAGCATATAAATATCCAAATTACATCATGTATAAGTGACATCATTCTGAGATCAGTGCTAAAACTAAAAAACTGGCATAAGCCATGCTGTGATCCCATCATTATCTGTAAGGTATTGCGGATAATTTGGCAGTCAGCACAAGTTTTCTACTTTATAATGTCACACATCATAATATTTTTTTCATTGTTTTATTTTCTTATCTATCACTTCATTATGTTTTCATGTTATTAGAACAGGTCTACTGCATAAAAATGCCTGTAAATTTTCTTCAAATCAACACATGTTGAAATCATACACAAAAAAGTACTGGTAGAATGAAGTACGTGCATCGATGTAAGTTCTTAAAAATAGTTTAAAAAATAATACTGAGATACAACCACTACATCTACGTACTTGAACAATGGCATGGATTGACATGTTTTGTCACATGAAATATTCTCTAAAGGCCTATTCACAGGCAAGTAGAACACATTATGAAAATTTATTTTAAAACAGAAAAATTAACAACAACAACGTAAAATGATGGTAAATGTTCACAAGAGATTTTCCAATTAAGATGTTAATGACTATTACCTTTTCAGAAATTAAATTTATTTTATTTTCCACATCCAGGATTTTTTCAGCTTCTTGCTGTACGAAATTGTACTTTCTTTCCATATCAGTAAATTGAACTGACTGCTGAAACAGAAACCTGCAAATTGGAAGTAAATAAACATAATTAGCAGATATTAAGTGTTCCAGGACCTGATTCACAGCAATTTGTTACTGGAGGGATTTCTATTCACAGAATTTGCTAGATCAATACATAAGAGAAAACAAAAAAATCAGGATTTAATGAAGTTGATCTGTCTAGATACTAAAGTTATCTTCCAAAAGAGGCAGGAAAATTTGGAAACATCCATAGATGTCTTCATTTTTACTTCATTTTTTACACTGTATTGCCATTCAAACAGAAAAAATGTCCAGAGTACTGGCACAAGAAGACTGTTACACGCTCGTGATGCGTTGCCTTGCAATTATATTTTATTGATGAAGTGTTATTTAACTATTGGAAATAAACCACACACACAAAAATTTGGACTTTCTTACAAAGCATCACAAAAGCATGCATAGAAGTCTTTGGATTTAGAAAGGCTAGTTAATGTTTAATTGTAACCACCCAAGAACACATGGCGGCAAAGCTTGTATAGCTACTGTAATGACGATGCCAGCTTTGAACAGGCAGTGGAGATCTCAATCCTGTACTTTATACATATTCTAGATTCATTTACTGTGAACTTGGATGCTTTCTGAACTTTGTCTAATTAAAAAGGCAATGAGATAACAAAGCAAAAACCCCTGAATTTTGCTGGATGCTTATTAATCCCCAAACAAGGTCTTTTGAAGACTATGCAAGGGTCCTCTCTGTAGTAGGAACAATTTTATCTAGAACAACAGAGCTTACTTCAAATGCTTGTCCTTTCATAAATTGATATTTATAATTTATGGTATATTAATTATTATTTACAATTAGAAGTTTCAAAATACATACAATGTTCTTTAAGATTAAGTTAGGCAATAAAATCTATAGACAGATATATGCAAAAGAGACAAACAGACATACATAAAACAGTAAGCAGAAGCATAAGTAATAATTTTATTCTATGTTGTTCTGTTTCACAAAAATTTAGATAATGAAATCTAGGTGACATTAAAACAAGAAAAAAAATTACCTTAATTTTCAGATTGATGTCTAGAGTGAATAACCTGAACTAATTTCTGGCACTAGATTTCTAAGAATTTCATCATATCATTTTTGCATGAGGCTCAGTTTCTGATGCAACTAAGGTACTGATGCTGCTAAGATATTCTAAAACGTCTTTAACGAAGGTATTTGACCTTTACTTGAAGACTCCACCTGAGGAACAATTACCACACTGCTGAGCAATTTATTTACAGAAAACTCTGTTTCATTTCTACTGTCTATTTATGACCTGCCAAATGAGCTTTGTTGTACTTATTGGCAGATTAAGCTGGTCTTCACAGTTAGATGTAGTCTCCAAAGCAAGTACTTAAAATTCATGAGGAATTTTAAACTTTTAAACTTTCAACATGATATAATAAATTGAGCTTCTATTATAACTTACTGTACACCCATTTTTCCATGCTTGTGAATACTGCTATTCTTTTCTTGATCCTTCTGGCTTTAACAAGTTTATGTAGTCACTTAACTCAAGCATGGCATTCAAATATAAATCATACAATCTGTGACTGAATACCATATAGAATACAAAATAAAATATTAAAACCCACTTTAGAGGGTTACCTACCAGGTCACCACCAGGCAAACAGTAAGAGAAATTATGGTCAAGCTTGTCCGTGAGTCCATCCAAAAGGAACTCTGATTATTGCTTGTCCTGGGATTTGTCAGCTTCCCGTAACTACTGTGCTTCTCAACATTTTGTGAACCTTCATTGACCTTAGATGAAGAAATACCTTTTTTCCTTTGCTTAACTTCAGACATTTTGTGGTTTTAAAAAGCAGAAGCAAAAGAGAAAGCTAGGATAAAAAACAAACCCCAAAAGGACTACTTAACTTCTAATCATTCTCAAACATAAACTTTCACCCTTGAAGTACAAAAATACACCCCTAAAAATGTTTCTTTCAGTGTTTACTATGTTTCTTAGTTATGTGCACTTTTGTAAAACGTCACAAGACTTTCATTTTGCCTTCTATAGCACAGAGCCCACCTTTCATATTTTCTAAAACCAAACTCACTTTTCAAGCTTTAGCTAATTTCACCTTTCCAGAAATATTTTGTCTGTCGTAGAATAAGTAATTTTAAAGATATACTGAAAATAACAAGGACTAAAAGCACATTTCTTTTTGTAGTTGATGACTGTCAGAAGATCATCAGCAATTTCACTAATAGACTTGTGTTTTACTTGTAGATTTTTTAAAAAAATAATTATTACCTATACCACATTAAAAGGGGAAAGTTATCTTTTTATTTTAAAAAATGAAATTGCAAGTCAAGCTTTCATTTAGAAATAGTTCTATTGTAATGATTTCATATCATTTGTAAAATCATAAACATCAGTTAATAAAAGGTCAATAACAGAAAAATTCAGAAGATTAATTAAATTATGCATCTAGATCAAAGAAAAGCTATAACTTGTTCTTAATAACATTAAGGTCCGAATAGAAACAAGTAATCTTCAGCCTCATATTTTACCAACCAAGTGGAAGTACAGATTGGAATTTTTAGGCCTACAATCTTCCACAGTACTGCTCAAAATAGACTTCATCCTTGGTGGATTCAGTTTAGCGCAATTTGAGACAAAACTGTTGTGCTGCTTTTTGGATCACTTTGCAGTATTGCCGCTTAGTCACATATCAAAATATAAATATTTATAGACACTTGTATAGTCACATACAAGCATAAAATATATTGTTTAAAATCTAATCTGTCATAAGAGCAGGTAGCTTAGAGCTGTTTGAATCACACACACAAGGCAGCATGCTCTGAGTTTGAAGCACGTAGGAAAAAACACCTCTTAAAAAAAAAAACAGAAAAATGCTATTTTGTAACTTTTAAGACACCTTGAGATTGAGAACATTACGAAGTTAAAGTAAAAAAAAAAAAGAGAGATCTGAATGGTAGTTAGGGAAATAGTTCAATACAGAAAAAAAAAAAAACGAAAAAGCCCTGCTTTAAAAGGACGGCTTCAGATCGCAGAGCGGTGCGGTACAGAGGGATGAACCGCAGCTTCCCAGAGACCCTCCCGTGCCTCCCTCCCTCGGCTCCGGCATCCCCAGCCCTGCCCGCGCTGGGTCAGGAGCACCGAGCGCGACCCACCGCCCCCTCCTCTCCAGAGCCCCCACGTCCCTCCCTCCAAACCCCAGCACCTCGCCCGTCCCCGGGGCAGCTCTGCCGGACGCCACCCCGCCCTGGCGACCCCCAGCACCCCGCGCCACCTTCCCCGCTCCCTCCAGCTGCCGCCGCGCTCCTCCGTTACCCCAGCGCTCCTCCGGCCTCAGCTGCAGGGCGAAGGGGCGGGGACGGCCGCGCTGCCCCGCAGCCACCACGTTTACAGGCCGCGGAGCCCCTCCCCTGGCTGGGGTCGGCGCATCGCGTCCCGGTACGCCACGTCCGGCGCCCGCCCGCCGCCGCCGCGGGCAGGGGAGCGATCCGGGCACACACAGCTGGGCTCCGCGCAGCGCCGGGCTTCGCTGGGCGCGGGGCCGGGCAGGGAGCGGCCCGGCCTGGCCCTTCCCCGCCCCCGGTCCCGGAAGGAGGAAGCGTCGCGGCGCTGCCTCCGCAGTGGTCGCGGGGGAGTGGCGTCTCCGCGGGGCCAGGCGGGGACTCGCTGCCGGGGTCCGCGCTGCACGCCAGGTGAGCGGCGTGGCGGAGAGGGAGGGACGGACCGGACCAGACCAGACCGGGAAGGGTTTGCCTGGGCGGGGTGGGGGACGGCGGCAGCGGGCGGGCGGTCTGAGCGCTCCGCTGTTTCCCTCTCCGGGCGGCTGATAACGGCGGCTGGGGTGTGAGCTTTTGTTTTGGGTGTTTGTGTGACGATTTCTTTTGTATTCGCTTCACATGTGGCTTCATTATTGTTGTTGTTGGTATTATTATTATTGTTTTGTTTGTTTGTTTTTTGTTTGACCTGGACGTTTTTCGGCTGGAGAGCTTTCGCGTCCCCGTTACCTCAGCGGTGCGGTGGGATAAAGGTGGGGGGAAGGCTTTCCTGATCGCGTAATTTTCAGTGAAAGTAGGAAATTCTGTCGGTACGGCGGAAGAGGTGCTCCAGCAGGGCTTATCCAAAGGCAGATGTTCTACCCAGGTCCTGAAGGAGGGAGCAATCGGAAAAGGTGAATGCTTCTGCCGGCACCTGCGTAGTTGCTCCATGGAGGAGTTTGAACTTGCTTACGGAGCTTTCTGTCAGGAGTGTGATCGGAGAGATAATTTTGATCACTGGGGACTCTCAGGGGTAGCTGATCGGTAATGGAAAATCTTTACGTTATAGACAATAGTTTTCACCTTCTGTTGTCTTCAGACGTGGGGTTTTTTATGACATATAGGAAGAATGAAAGTTTATAGAGTTGTGTGTCAGATCAGTATATATATCAGTTTAGTGAAGTCATTGGTAGTGTTGGGCGCTCCATCTTCCATCATGTGTCACTATTTGTGTGCTTGTATGGCGTCTTGAACTTGGAGACAACAATTAGTTTATCTTGTGTGATGAGACCAATCCTCTTTCTCATCCTGTTGTCCCAGTTCCATGATCCAAGGACTTGAAAAAATTGAGAGATGTAGTGGGTGCTGAGAAAACCTTTTCATAGAGACATTTAGCAAGTTTCTAGTAGATGAGAAGCTTGCAAAGTCTGTGGTTTTGTAGCTCCCAAGTGTTCATAAACATAAATTCATAGAAATGGGGGAAAGGACTCAGACTTTTTATTTCCAGAATTAGCAGTACATATCAGGTACTGTACATATTTTCCACTAATGCAGCTACTTCACTACTCTTTCTGACTTTAAAACCAAAGTTCCTAAGCTATTTTAAAACTTCTTTCCTTATACTTGTAAATTATGTTCCCGTTCTTACTTGACTTCTCCCCCCTCTCCCTTTTTCACACAGAAGGAACATGGATGTCAAGAGTAGAAATTATTTACTTAAGAATCGCCAAGCATTGGAAAAAGACATCAAGACTTCTTATATTATGGATCGTATGATTTCTGACGAAGTGCTAACATTACAGGAGGAAGAGAGAGTGAAACAGCAGGTAGAGTCATCTTTCACTGTTCTTTATCTTCCTAGTGTAGTCACATGCTTTACCATCCTTCTTAAAAATAGTAATTTCTGTCTATCTAATTCCTGGATTCATCAAATGAATCCAGCACACAGTTTTTATTGCACTTCATAAGGTCGAGTTAAGGGCTTGGTCAAGTTAAAGGCTATTTCTCTAACTGTGAATAATCTATAATTGACAGAGTGATAGATTAAATGACTTCTAAGGTCTCTTAGTTTTGTATAATACATCTTTTAATGTTTGGATTTTTTTCTAGAATACACAGAAGGAGCGAGCAGCCACGCTAATAAACATTATTCTTACAAAAGATAATAATTCATATAGATCCTTTTATAATGCACTGCTTCATGAAGGGTACAGAGATCTTGCTGCACTTCTTCAGGATGGCATCCCTGCTGTCTCATCTGGTAACAGAAAGAGTTCGATGGATGGAATGACTTCGTATGGTCAGTGTAACTACAGCGGTCCCTGTGCTTGAACGTAAAGACAAGTTGCCTTGTGGAGTTTTGGGAAATCTTACTCAGATAATAAAAGTTTACCAGTGTAATATGCTACTCCGTATGGCCACAAAGTGGACAAATAAAGTGTACATTTTCTTTCCTGCTACGCTATCTCAGCTTAAATCAATGGAAGTCTTGCTTGGACCACGGTGCTGTGCTGTTAAGTGCCAAATAAAAGCCTTACACAGCGTCCTTTTTTTCTGCTGCATCCATGGGGTGGTAATTTCTGGCTGAGAAAGTGACTTGGTTGTTTGGTATAGTAATGTTGAGCTCCTGTGTTGGCCACAGTTTCCACTGGAGCTTTTAATTATCTTTTAACTTCTAGGGATTGATGTAACTAGCTTGCCTCGTGCGGTTGTTAATTGGAATACTGTTGTAGGTGGGGGGCTAGTTACCTGTTAAGTAATTTATTTCTAAAAAGCAATATTTTTTCAACCTTTGGTGTTGTGAGTCCAGCAGTTTTTAGAGCATTTTTATGGGACGTGAGGTGGGGAGGGAGCCCACTAGTTATTTTGGGTGAGGAGTTGTTTGGTTGGGTTTGAAGAGGCATCACATTTAGAATTCACTTTTTATTTTCATGTTTCTTTTTTCTAACTTTAGTGAAGACAGTTCTCTGCGAAGGGGGCGTACCACAGAGACCAGTTGTGTTTGTCACTCGGCCGAAACTGGTAGATGCTATTAAAAAGAAGCTGTATTGCTTGGGAAGTGATCCAGGCTGGGTCACAGTTTATGGAATGGCAGGCTGTGGAAAGACTGTTTTAACAGCAGAAGCTTTAAGGGATCATCAGCTCTTGGAAGGTACTTTTAGAAAAACATCTATATTTTAATAAAAATTACTGCAGGTATACACGTTTTGGACATATATGGTGCAATATCACATGTCATCTTGAACGTGATTCAGGTTTCTAAATTCCTTAGTTGCTTCTGGAATATTTGCTTGCAACATAGAAGTTTCATAACCGGTTAGTGCTCTGGGACCACTAAGTATTTTACTAGTTTATGGAAAAAGGTTTTGATTAGCTTTTCACCTTAGAATCTGCTTTGGTTTATGACAGTAGATGCATCCTTAGTTAACTTGAAATTGTTATTTCTGTTAATGAAAAATAATATATGTAGTTATATTCCTTTTGGGCATTGCTGATAAAGTCCCTAGACTCCTCTTTTAAAAAGTCTTGCTCTAACTTTTGCATAAATTTTAACAATGGCAGGCATTTGTGGGATGCTTACAGTAGTAGCACCTTAGCTTAAAGCAGGTCATAAATGAAACTATTTAATGGTATTTTTCTTATTTTATTTATTTTTCTCTACATAGTACACTAGGAGGAGAAAGCAGGACTTGACCATTAAAAAAACATGATGTAGGGATAGATATCACAGCATCTGCTGCTACTGCTGATTCTTCTAGATGTCTTCTTGATGAATGTTTTGGAATCATTTTTACATCCCAAACTCTGAACTTCTGCAGTAATACAGGGTTAAAAATGTAACTACTAAGTTAGACTACAGAAGGGGTTGTCGAGGGACAGGCAGGAAGACATGTACAAAGGAGGGACAACAGTATCAGTGGTGGTGTGAAATTTCTGTGGGAATTTGCCCTACAGAGCCTGTTCCTTTAAAAATAAACAATAGTGATCTTGTAGAATCATCCTTTGGTGTTAATAGTAGAGTTGCAAGGATGGCTTGCAATAGACTTTAGAGGTTTGTATTTTAATTAATGTTGAGTTCTTGATTGCTATTGTAAGCTGCTATTAAATATTTCTGATGTTAAATGTATAGCACAATTAATATTGCTTTTCTTGTTAGATTACTTTCCAGGAGGAGTTCATTGGATCTCTGTTGGAAAACAAGACAAAGCAGGGCTCCTAATAAAACTTCAGAATCTCTGTAGTAGATTAGAACATGACTTGACTCTTTCACAAAGGTCACCACTTAACATTGAGGAGGCTAAAGATCGTCTTCGTTTGTTGATGTTGCGCAAATATCCCAGGTGATGTCAGTAAAATCAAACACTATTCTTTTAAAACTTTACAGAGTAACTTTGATCTAATAATCTAAGGTGTCTGTGTTGTAGTTACCTGTCTCTGTGATGTGTATATTTTTTTTTAACCAACTTCCTATCTTAAACTAATTAGGCTTTGGCTAACAAAATACATTAACCAACTGTGCAGGAGTCGTATTTGCTTGAAAAAGTATTAGTTGTTGAATAATGAAAGTTGGGAACAAACCATTGGAAATAAGAATTGCTCTAACTTTCATTGTTCTCACTGTGTGCATATAGTGCTTTACTGATATGTGAGAATCATACAGCAGAAGAAAAGGATGTGTATCACTGCAGAAATATTTTCCTTTCCAGAACAGCTGATGACTAAACAGAACAGCTGATGTTTGGCCTGGAAGTACTAAAGTGAAAGCAGGTTTTCATAATGTGATCACTTACCACCAAGAAAGCAGTTTCTTTCAAACTTCAGGGAAAGTGGCCTGATTTAAGTAAGCAGCATCTCAGTCGTTGCACAGCTTTTTTCATCTTTGAGCAATAGTTTTTTTTACTTTTGGAGGTTTTGTTAGTCTTTGCGAAAATCTGTACTAAACTAAACAAGCCTGCACCTCAGTGAGATATCTTGGGAATAATACTCCAATCTTGTGATCTTTATAGACGCCATAGAGTAGAATAGTTTTTTCTTGTAAAGAAAAGATGTGAAAAATATTGCCAGGTCCTCCACAAGAAATCTTTCTTTTTTTTTTTTAGCTTGTGGAAATCTTATATGAAAAGTTCAAACTACACTTTCAGCTGAAAGTACACTTTTTCATGAAATATGTGAAGTGGTTGTTTTCATTGACACATTTCCATTGTTATTTCTTGTTTATTAACAAACAAACCAAAACTCCTGAATACAGAAGAATTTGGATGTTTAGTTCATGCACAACATCACAGTGGGCATGGGAGGAAGTAGAGGGAAATGTACTGGGGAGTGAAGTTCATAAGCTTCACTCTTTCTGCATCTGGTGGAGGAGCTTGCTCTGCACTGGAATTCTCTTTGGTGACAGAAAGTCACTTTAACTATTTCTGGATTCAAATAGTCAACCCAGGATATGTCTTGGGAATAAAGTACTAGGCAAAGGATTCACATTGTGAATCTGTTATGTTTCTTGGGATTAAAGAATTAGTCAAATGAAGAAATTGAAACTATGATATAATTTAAAGTAAGAAATTACAGAATTTAATCTCCTGTCATTATTACCACAGGGGTTTGTGTTTGTCTGCTTAGGGTGTTTTTTTTGTTTGCTTTGGTTTTTCTTTGTTTATGTTATTTTTTTAAATAATCCTAATTAGGATTTAAGATTTGTTGGTGTGGTTGGAGGAGAAAATCACTGGTGCCAAAATACTGGGAGAACTTTGAAGTGTTCAGATTAATTAAAAACATAAAATCAGGCCAGCATGAAATTCATGCCGCCCAGCATATTTTCAAGTGTGAAAGTGCCACAAAATGAGTCATTTATGGCTGTGATGGTATTCTTGTAAACCCTTTGATTTATCAAAAGGGTATTAATAGAGGAGTTGTATAAAAATGAGATGGGGTATCCAAGACTTAAATGCAACTTTCAAAATGGGGTATGATGTATATGCATTTCTCTAAGAAAGATCAGATCCTTATTTATAAGCTTCAATGGCATAAGCACCATTTAGCTGGACAAAAATGCGGAAGTCTTGGCACGCTTCAGTGGGAATTGGACAACTTAACCAATAACTAGTGTAGCAGAAAATTCCAGAAAAAAAAGGCAGTAAGTATAAACAATTTGTAAGATTAGGTTTCAGTAATTAACCTCACTGAGTGCAAATAACTGACATTTCTTTTCGTACGTCTACTTCTGACTTTTTGCTCTCTTAGAACAAACCTTTTAAAATTGGCTTTCAGTAACTTCTTTGTCATATATAGGCGGGTGTAGGGAAATCTACTATAAATTATTTTGGTGAAATTCCATGTATTAACCTACAAATGTGGCTAGCCAGAGGATTTGAATGTGTAGTCACTATAAAATGTTGTTTCTGTAAAAATCGTCCAAGACAATTCCTTCAGAAGAGGTTCTTTCCAAAGATACAAGAATAAAACTGAAAATTCTTGAGTCAAAAGGAAACTGAAATGCCTTCTCCCACAAAACTTATCACTAGCCTGTGCCAAGCAGAGTTCTTATGTAGTCCTGTACAACTCTTTTCTCCCTGGTGACTTGAAAAACAGAGTAAATATTTCTATTTTTCCTGACATCTATTAATAGAAATATTTCTCAAAATGTCATTGTTTACACTTCAGTTGTAGCTATAAAATAATAAGTGGTAAAAACTTACTTTTTTGAGATACCTGCATTCAGCTTCTTGTACAGTGTTTAATCACAGAATCATCAAGGTTAAGAGAGACCTTCAAGATCATCTAATCCAACCATCAGCCCAGCACTACTATAATGACCCCTAAACCTTATCCCCAAGTGCCACATTCAGATGCTTCTTGAACACTTTTGGAGACAATAACTCCACCACCTCCTTGGGCAACTTATTCTAATGCCTAATCACCCTTTCAGTGAATTTTTTTTTTTTCCTAATATCTAATCTGAACCTCCCCTAGTGCAATAGAAGGCCATTTCCTCTTGTCTTTCCACTTGAGGCAAGGAGAAGAGGCTGACCCCCACCTCACTAAAACCTCCTTTCAGGTGGTTATAGAGAGCAATAAGGTTTCCCCCTGAGCCTCCTTTTCTCCAAACTAAACAACCCCAGTTCCTTCAGCTGCTCCTCATAGGACCTATTACCTATTTTTTAGGCCCTTTACCAGCTTCATTACCCTTCTCTGGACATGCTCTGAAGATATTTTATGTATTAATGTAAAAAAAAATTGCGCAGTGATACATTGTAAATTCTGAAAATGTTCTTTCATTACTGAAATGCAATACTTTATTTTAGCACTAATAGTTGATATGAAATCTGCAATATTTCTTCTTGCACTAGATCTCTTTTGGTCCTGGATGACATTTGGGATTCCTGGGTACTAAAGGCATTCGATAATCAATGTCAGGTTCTTATCACCAGCAGGGACAGGAGTGTAACAGATGCTGTGGCTGGTAAGGAACAGTTTCCTCTTCTGCACCACAGATTTTGTGTATATGTGCGTATACAATTTGTTCTTGTGAACTTTTAAAAGAATCTAGTAGAATCTCTGTTGGTCAACTTGTGGCAAAGTTTTAGAATTCTACTCTGTAAGACTTTATGCTGTTTGTGAAATAAGTAGTATATGTTATCCTGAAAGTTAAATGTTTGCATTGAAGAGTACAGTGATTCTCAACAGGATAAATTAACCTCTGTGACAATGATGCTGTTAAACTGATTATCTCTACACTATTGAGTAGTCACTGCTCATAATGTATTTGTTTCGCTGATGCAAACTGATTCTGATAAGTAGAATTTATACTCTTCTTAGTGTTAAGCCTATAAAATACTATGCAAAAACTCATGAACCAGGTCCTTTGCTCTCGATTTTACTTGGAAGATTCCTTCAATTTCCATGGGATTTTTTACATTCTTTTAACTTCTTTCCATGTTTCTGTGTCTAGGCAATAAATTTGAGGTTCATGTGGAGAGTGGACTAGCACATGAGAAAGGACTGGAGATTTTATCCCTATTTGTGAATATGAAAATATCAGAACTGCCAGAACAAGCTAACTCCCTTGTAAGAGAATGCAAAGGTATACTGGTCGCTCTTCAACATATCATTTACCACTGAATGTATTTTTTTCTTCTAGATTTAGACTTACAAATAGAGGAGGGAACATCCTTTAATATTGTATACCTTAAGTAAAACACAAGTGCTTGTCAAATGTTTTTTGGTTTTTTTTAAGCAAAATAGGATTGTCCCATGTTGATTTTCAAGTATTTTTCTTCAGTGTATTTTCCTTGTGCACTACAATTGCACTTAAATTTCGTGAGTTTGCAGATGTCTTCATGGATTACACGTTTTGTTTGTCCTCCACAACTCAAGAATTTAATCAATGTGTTGGGAAAATTACCTGATTTACTCAATGACTTGACTATCAACTTGTGTTCCTTGAAAAGCTCTAAAATTGATTTAATCTTTTCCTTCAGGTTCTCCTCTTGTGATATCCTTGATAGGTGCATTATTACGAGACTTCCCTAGTCGTTGGGAATACTATCTCAGACAGCTGCAGAATAAGCAGTTTAAAAGAATAAGAAAATCTTCTTCTTATGATTACGAAGCCCTTGATGAAGCAATGTCCATAAGTGTTGAGCAACTAAATGACAATTACAAAGACTACTATAGAGATCTCTCTATTCTCCCAAAAGATGTTAAAGTACCTACTAAGGTAATAACAGCAGAAATCTTGTCAGTTTTAGTCAGATACAAACAACAACTTTAAAGAAATCATAAAATTTACAATTGTCATGCGTAACTTGTGCTGTGTGTAACTTAATAGTAATTACTAGATTAGGTAGATTTGGTCCATTACTGTATCGTGACTTGTATTGTTAGTAGTGAAACTAAAAAAATCATAACTGAATAAATGTATTCATAATGTTTAAGTTTAACATGCATTCCGCATATGGCTCTTTAAGTAGGTTTAAAATGGAAGGTTTAAAAACTGTTAAGTGAAATTTGTCTCCTTTAAGAAAAAGATATGATCACCATAAATCAGTGCAAATAGACAAAAGACAGGATAACTTGTAGTATCTGTCCTGTGTTTTGGTATGAAAGAATTGGTGATTTATTGAATTGATTACTATTTGTAGTATGTCTATATTTGTTAGTATGCACTTTTTTGTCAGTTAATTGGTAGCCTTTTATGATATTCACAAGTCATATTATGACTTAGTTCTCATTCTTTTCTCTGTTACTGTGTTAATATTTTTTAGGTTCTCTGTATTCTTTGGGATATGGAAACTGAAGAAGTTGAAGATATACTGCAGGAATTTGTTAACAAATCACTCTTGTTCTGTGATCGTAATGGGAAGTCATTCCATTATTATTTACACGATCTTCAACTCGACTTTCTCACAGAAAAGAATCGCAACGAACTTCAGGTAGCATATTGATGAATCTGCTTACTTTTAACTTTACTCTTCAAAGCTGGGTATTCTTCAGAAAATGTTGTGTTAAATGGTATCCCGAGTAGTTTCACAGAAGAGTCCATGATGCAGTTTAACGTAATGCTGATTAATTTTAAAAACTTATTTTCAACTTGAAACTATGGAATGATTTCATGATGGTTCCATTTGGACCTAGAACACTAAACTGAGAGAAGACTCTATATCCATTATTTCTCTATCAGATGATTCCAGCAGGAGATGTAATGTGCCACTGCTGATTCCAAAGGCATCAAGACCCTAACAGAATAGGAGGTTCTTTCTTTAATGCAGAAAAGTGCTTTTTTACTTCCTTTTTTCAATTTAAGGCAATACTTGCAGGGAGAGGACATATAACTTGGGACCAAAAAATTTTGTTTCTGAAGGACAAGGCAGAAAGAGTAGATATGAAGAAAAAGCAAGTTTTTAGACTTGCTTCAGAGCGATGTATGTAAGGGTCCTTTTTTGTTGTCTACCCACATTTAATGTGAAGAGAGATTTGATAGCTATTATCAATCTGAGAAGGAAGGTTAACAGCTTTCTTTTCTGCCTTTTAATATCCAGAGAATGTTTCTGGAGAAGTCTTAAGGAGTAGATTAGGTAGGGTCTACAATTTGGAAAGGTAAGATTTTTAATTTCATTTCTTGACATATTGTGATTGAGAAATGATATTATTATTCCTCAATACTATTTAAAATATAATTTTAATAATACTTATAATTCCTCAATACTGAAACTAACCCATACCTTGGTATAGATTTAACTGAAACTATGTTTTTCTTCACATTACAGGAGCTACATAAAAACATAGTAAATCAGTACAAGAAATATTACAAACTGAAGACGCCTGTTCCATCCCAAGAAGACTGCATGTACTGGTATAACTTCCTAGCATATCACATGGCTGGTGCCAATATGCAGCAGGTGGGTTCTGTCAAGTGTCCTCTGTTTTCCTTTTTAACCCACTCTTACCTCTGCTTTTCCCTCTAGGCCTTTTCCCACTTGAACCTCTCTTCCCTCAGGCCTTTGTGCATCTAGATGAACACTCAACATAGAGTCTTTAGGAGATCTACTGATAATCACTGTCCATTACAAAACCCGTTTTATTTCTACCCTTTGTATCTTGTCTTTTCGTTTTTGAGAAGATTTCTTATTTTATATCTTAATAGCTTGTATTTCTTTTTCCTATTTTAAGAAGCTGTGGTAAGACATCTTCTCTAAACCTTTTTGAAAACCTAAGCTCTCTTTATTATATGACAATACAAGTAAATTGATTCAGTTAGAGAATTTTATCAATTAGTTACCTTTTTCTCCAGAAATCTTGTTATTTTTTTTCCTCTTATGTCATACAGATTTGCATGTAAAAATTCATTATCTGATTTCAATAGCCCCAAAAAAATGCATCAAGAGGTAGATGGGCAGATCTCTTGTTCCCAGGATTGCCTTGGCACCTTTAAAAAACCTTGTCATTTTGCTACCTACTGTACTGTAGATATTCAACTAGAATAAGATGCGAATCATGCAGAAGGATTAATAATTCAGTAGTCTCACTTGAATTTGAGTCTCAAGTGCATTGAATAGCATTTGATACTGGTTGCTGATTGCTTTATTTCACATGTACTCAAACCTTTTCAGTTGAACTTCTTTCGAGATGGTTCATCTGACTCATCATATAATACACTTTGTGGATTTATGTCTTACGAGAACCTTCATAATTAATGTGGGCTCCAAATCTTGTTTTTCTGGATCATATTTATTTAATTATCTTAATTTCTTTAACTTCAATGTGTTTTAAAAATGTTTTTATTAGCAACCTTTCTACATTTTGTAGAATTAGCTTCTCAGCGTTCTTTAGCCTGGCTCATTATGACTGTATGCTTCCTAGAGTTCGCATTCTATGTACCGCTTATTTCTCATTATTTAGGCATGATTTGAATTTGTTGGGAGGCTAATAAAGCTGGGAGGTATTCTTTTCCTTTGTTTAACCATGATAATATTTTAATCCTTGTGGTATTAACTGTCTTTAAATTGGAATATACTTAGAGCCTGTGCAGTGTTGTCTCTAAGCAGTTTTTCTGATCCAAGCAAGGATGTTTTTTTAAAAGAAAGACTTTTTTAACTACATTAATAGCAAGAGGAGGTCTAAAGGAAACATTGGGCCAATACTTGTTGAAGATGGTCATCTAACTAATAGGGATAAAGTGTAAGCATTCAATGTTGGGTTTTTTTGCCTCAATCTTTAATAATACTGACAGGCTTTGGGCTGCCCAGCCCCCTGGGTTGGAGGAACACGAGTCTAGGTACAGTGACTTCATTTGTGGACACTGAGGTTGTAAGTGACTGGCTGTATCAGCTGAATGTTCACAAGTCCATAGTGCCTGATCTGATACAACCAAGAGCACAAAGGATGTTATGGCAAGACTACTCCTGGTCATCTACCAATGGTTTTATGAGTCTGGGGAGGTCCCAGTCTGAGGGGCAACCTTGCTGCACTCAATGGCTTCCTGAACAGGGGAAGTGGAGAGGGAAGTTCTGAGCTCTTACTCTCCGGTACCCAGTGATAGGAACTGAGGGAATGGTGCAAAGCTGCACCCGGGGAGGGTTACACTGGACATTAGGAAGCATTTCTTTACCAAGAGGCTGGTCAAATACTGGAACAAGCTTCCTAAAGAGGTGGGCAATGCCCCAGGCCTGTCAGTGTTTGAGTCATTTAGACAATGCCCTTAATAACATGCTTTAGCTATCGGTCAGGCAGTTAGACTAGATGATCATAGTAAGTCCCTACCAACTGAAATTTTCTATTCTATTCTAATAATTCTATTTGCAGTTTCAGATCACCTTTTTAAGTAGTCTTCTCATTTTTAAGTGAAATGCAGCTATAACAGATTTTTTGCTTTTATTCAAATTCAGCTTCTCTTAGGAAGATCAACAATCATTATTAGCAATGATCTTTACTAGATTGGACTAGAAGAAGCTTTTTCAGAGTTGTATCTTAAACCAGGTTTTGTGTGCTACAAGTCAAGAATCCCTTTGTACTCCCATTCCTTCTCTGAGTAGCTGTATCAGAGCGGTCCTTTGCATTAAAATAACAAGCTTAGCCTTCCATAACCTTCTATAATTTTCATACCTGATTAAATAAGGTGCAGGGAACAGAGAATTGCTTGTTTTCAACTAGAGACAGTTATACCAAAGCATATTAAATACCTCATGTATTTTCTGTCCTTTTCTTTTTCCCCTGAGTAGATTCTTTTGTGAAACTTATGCTCTGAACTTAATTTTGTATTTCTTGTAGGAGCTCCGTGATCTTATGTTTTCTTTAGGTTGGATTAAAGCTAAAACAGAATTAGTAGGGCCTGCTCATCTGATTCATGAATATGTAGAATATAGTTCAATCCTGGATCAAAAGGTATGATACTAAAAGGTAAATGAGCAGTCTGTTCCAAATATATTTCTCTATTTTGTAATTGCATTTTGTTGGATTTATGTATATATGGCAGGTGTATAGAAAGCTTAAAAAACTGAAGCACAAAACCAAGACTAAATTAAATTTTAACTTGGAGAAGATAAAAACAAAGGAAACTTTCAGTTTCAGTTTTAACTTCAGTGTGTAAGTGATTGGCCATGGAACTCAATAACCAAAGTGATCAATACCTAATGGTGGGTACATAAGGTACTCTGCTTTTGAGGAGGTGTAGAATTATGTTAGTCACTTGGAATAGTTTTTGTGATATTTCACACTGACTGCTTCTTGAATAAATCGTTGTTGCCAATATTCTTTATTTGAAAAGTAAGGAGATGATGCGTTCCTGAGTAGGATAATGAAATATTTCAGTCTATTGTATGTATTTGCTAATAGAACTAAATATAAAAATAGAGCTAAGTGCTTCTGTGAGAGTATTAACTGTGTAGAAATTTAAAAAAGCAAAGGGCACTTAGGAAATAAATACTAAGATAAATCTATGTTATCAAATATTATCTGCTCTGTACATAGGATAGCACAGTTCGTGAGAACTTCCAGGAATTTCTCTCTTTAAATGGGCACCTTCTTGGACGGCAGCCATTTCCTGACATTATACAGCTGGGTCTTTGCCAACCAGAGACATCAGAGGTATATCAACAAGCCAAGCTACATGCTCAAAGAGAAACAGGAACATTTTATTTGGAGTGGATGTAAGTAGATGCAGTCCATCTGCTATGCTGATTCCTTGATCCAAGGAAATCATTTGATGTACAGCTAAATACAACATATGGCTAATAAAAGGACCTCTGTAACAACTGATAAGGTTTTTTTTTCTGGGGAAAGAAAGTGAAATAATTTTCAAGAACCCTGGATATGTAGGGCCACAAATTAGTAATAATTACACAGAAATAAATAAAGTAATATATTTACATCTGGATTCAATTATTGTTCTTTTAAATAACTATACAAAGATGAAAACATGATACTTTGAAACTTCTTTAAATACTTTTTTTAAAAGTTAGAATTATAGTGCAAGTATTGGGTATGTTACAGTATGTTTTTAGGTTTTATAGTAAAATATACAGCTTAAGGAAGGAGAGCATTTGTGCTAACTTGCAAAGTTTTTGAAAATAGTGAGCTGGGAAATACTTTATAATCTCTACGCAATCTTGAAATTTCCCCAATTTAAATAATTCTTTGCTCTTATTGTGGTTTTGGAAGTTGTTTAAGGAAAAAGTATACATATCTAAATATTTTCCCAGCATTGTCCAATAGTCATCTGACCATGTAACTCTCTTAGATTCTTCTGTTTGATGTTTCTCTTCTGATATTTGTAGTACTTGGTGGTCACAAAACAGAGTGACTCTGTATCAAGCAATTATAGTAATAGCCCGGCAGGTTAGTCTTTTCTTTGAATACTTGGTTATTTCATTTAGCACAGCTAGCAGAATTCTAAGAAAACTGTTTGGAAGGTGCAGAGTTCAGAAGAACCAATCCCCAGTCAGTTTAAGGTTTTCACCTTGGATAGGGGAGACATGCTGAACATGACTGAAATCAACAGAACAGAGATAGATGTTTTGGTCATTCATCACTAAAAGTCATCTTATTACAATGACAGGATGATTATGATAAAAAACTCTGAGTGTTGGAATTTATTTTTCCCTTATTACTTCAGCATGAAAGCTGAGTGGTAAGATAGAGTGCGTTGGTTGGTTGGTTGTGATAAAGCTTGGCTGCTCAAGATATGTGGAAAAGTGTTAATCTTTTTAGAGAGGATTTTGAACAGTACAAAGGCACTAGAAATCCTACTCATCTAAATCAATTGTCTCACCCTGTAGGAATAAAAAATCCTTGAAAAACCTCTACCGTCTCGTCGTTCGTCCACATAGAGATGCAGTTTACCATGCCTGCTTTTCTAAGGATAGACAAAGAATAGCATCATGTGGAGCAGATAAAACACTTCAGGTAAGATACCTATGCATGAGTGAAAAGAGGTGCTGTGTACCATATTGATAACATTTGTTAACAGTCCTGTTGCCTTTTTTTTTTTTTGATGTTATGTGGAAACATTTGGATCTGGACCATAATTGGAGACAAATGATTGAAAAGGATATATTATTGCATAAACATCAAGTTGCATGTTTGGAAGAGTAAGCATTATCTTCTAGTTCAAAAGCCAAATGGTGTGATATTAGGGTTTATACCCTTACTACTTTAATGTGTGAATGTGAGATGCCTTTTAATGATATGGAAGAACTCACAGCCTAAGTAATGCACCCCAGCTTTTTTAATATTTGCTTGCAAAAAGTGTTATTTCCAGTCACAGTAGACCTTCTACAGTACTGAGAAGCAGTAAGATATTTTAGTTACAGCTTTACTGTTTATATGAGATGGTAATGGACATTATGCCTCTTTGGTGCTTAATTAATAAAATGTCTTATGTGAAAGAAATATATCTGTGGAGAAAACCCCTGAAGTTTAGGACAGTATTAGATTGGAAATGGGCCCAAAGTGCTTAGAAAGTAGATTAGAGGAGACAGAGAGGAAAGTGACTAATATAAATTTGCCAGCAGTCTGCCTGCAGGAGAGTCAGCCAGCTCTCAAGAGAACTAGCAATCAGCCAGCCAGTAACCTGGTAAAGTATCCATATTCCAGACAGCTAAAGGTAAGGGAAAAGAACAACTTCTCTGCAAACCTTTGGTATTGTTTTGGATGCTTGAGAAGTTGAATACTAAAGCAGTAATATCACTGGTGCTTAGTTGCTGTTCATTTGGCTATTTAGTGTGTTGTTATTGGTTCTTTTAATTTGTTTATTTTATTTGCTGGCTTCTACAGTATTATGATCATGGCATCCACTTAAGGAGATGTCTGGTAAATGTACTCATGCTGTGCTGAAGTTGCTGTGCTGAAGTTACTGTGCTGGGCTTCTGTACTTAATAGCCTCATTATTGACACTGCAGATTGCTTATTTTTATTTTCATTTTCTACCCAAAAAACCCCTGTGGATTGTGATTGCATTTAAACTAAGCTTTTGTTGAAGAAGTAATAGGAAAATTAGCGATAATCCTTTTTTCATTGTTTAACTTCTAACTTATTCATGTTTTTTCTAATCGTGGCCTAAGCTTTTCAGTTTTCAAAGCTACTTAAACGATTGCTAGATTAAGAGCAGAAATTCTGCAGAACTTATTGTGAATGTAGATTTCCTGTTACTTCAGTATTTATATTCTTATTTGAACAAATACGAACCGTTTCATTGTCATTGACATACTCATTCAATAAAAAAGTAAAGGAATAAACAGGGATTTCACACTTGTAGTATCCTGAACAGTGCTGTAAAGAATACCTTGTGATTTGTTTTAATTATTACGAATATTTAACCTAAGATGGAAAGGGAGACGTGATTTTCCCCCTGACCCACCCCACATTGTAAATCCCAGAATTTGGGGAAATTGATTAGTATGTGACACTTTTCCCCAGCTGTCCTTTCATTTCCCTTGTCTAGCTCAAGACAGAAACTTATGTCATCCTGTACAATTTTCTCCTGCTTATTTTTGTTTTTTTTTTTCCTCAAATTGTCAATTGCTGATGAAATTCATACTTTCCACAGAAGAACATCACATACATTTAAAACTGGAATTTTTAGTTTTAGGAGTAATTTAGATTTTGTTAATAGGTAGTGTTTTGCAGTTACTGTTAAGAAATACTGTGAAAGGACATGGCTCTGGGTTTAAAGAGTGAGGATAGAACAGAAATATTTTTTAGTATCAGTTTTCACTATTTCTCTCCCTAACAATTTCTATCATCCTTGCAAAATTAAAGCTCAAATTAAATATTTTTGTAGTCATGTTACTGTCCCTGAAAATATGAATGCTTTCAAAAGTAAACCAAATTTTTGAAGAGTTTACATAAAGAGAGCTATTTGAGATAAAACCCCCTTATATTTGTGCTTTAAAATTATATGCAAGTTATAAGGTTTTATTGTCTCTTGTTATAGGTGTTTAAAGCAGAAAGTGGAGAGAGACTCCTGGAGATAAATGCCCATGATGATGAAATACTTTGTTGCGCTTTCTCTGCAGATGGTGAATTTGTAGCAACTTGTTCAAGTGATAAAAAAGTGAAGGTAAGGGAATGAGGAGCAGGCAATTTTTTTTTCAAACTAATAATTCTTATTTCTGTTTAACCAATTCAGACAGAGCAGATTCTTAAAACTAAAGGTGTTTTAAACTGTCTTAAATCTTAAATGGATAATTCAGTACTTGACAAACAGAAAAGTCCCACTTGTTACATATGCAAAATGTGCTTAATGTTACCATCATACTTGCAGCTAGTACCACTTATTTTACTTGTATTATGAGATGATTCTTTTTAACTGGAACATAATGTTTGAGTCCAATCTTATTCGTAACATGAGATGAATCTGTCCATAATACGCTTTTTAATGTTTTTTCTGTTACCTGTGAAATATTTGGGATTTTTAATTCCTTATTATTGTAGCCAAATCTTGTTGAAATTCCAGTATTTATCAGATTGTAGTCTGAATTATGACCTTTCCCCTCATAACTTCCTGTTTCTTTTTGCAGATATATATTCTTTCCCTTTATCTTCAAAACATTTTTGAGGTGTTATTAAGAATGTTTTAGGCTTTTATCTGTATTTCAGCATACTTTCCAGGTTTTTTTAAATTAATTACTTTAAATATATTTAAAAGTCTTTTTCATCCTTCAATTCTGTCTAGATCTGGAATTCAAGAACAGGCCAGTGTAGGTGTGTGTACGAAGAACACTCAGAGCAGGTCAATTGCTGCCAGTTCAATAACAGAAGTGGTCCGTATCTTCTAGCCACCTGCTCAAATGACACTTTCATCAAAGTAAGTGGAAAAGGTTGAGATGATTCTCATGCTACTTGTCATAACAGGATAATTATTGATATATAAGTATATCCAAACACTGTAAATTAATGGTTTTTTTAAATGAGCCTGGTAGAAGAGAGATGGCAACTTATTAAGAGTACTGTCTACAGCTCTGTAGTCAGATTTCAAAAAGGCAGAATAGGAGTGTTTATACTCAGCAAAGGAGAATGGGCAAGTCCTCTGTTGGTAGGGTATGAAGGTGAGGGCTTTGGCAAGACAGAGGGTGGAATGGGAATGAGAGTGAAATACCTAATTGAAAACAGCATAATTAAAAATGAAGGCAGAAATTTAGATTGGGAAACATTAATAATGTAAAAAACTGGATGCTGAAAGATTAGACGGGGAAAAAAAGTGTTAAGTGTAGCAGGGACATTTTTGATTAAATTTACTGGGCATAGTACAGAGATGAACATGGAAGCCAGCAAAATAATAATCAGTGCAGAGTTTCGTCAAATTAACTGTTGGTCTTCAGTGTCCAGACTGGGAGACAGTATGTATACACAGAAAGAGCAGAAGCTGGGCAATTTAAGTCTGCATCTGAGGGAAAGGGGAAAGCAGAAGAATCAGTAAAATCTAGACACTTGCTAAATAAGGAGTGCAATTTCACAGTAGAAATAGGCAAATAATTTCATTGACTGGCACCAGAGATGCCCTGGCAGTATATTCTTGCCTTTGAGGCAATGCATGTACTTACCTTATTCCGCAGTGGTATGATTCAAGGAACCAACTCTGTAAAACCCTCTGCTGGGATTGGTTTTCTGCCTGTTTGGTTCCCTGTAGTGACACTATTACCCAGTCCCAATGCAAGAGAATTGTTGGAAGTAGATGGCAAAGAGTGAGATTTTCGGGGTTTGTGGGGGAAACAACTGTCACTTCGAGCTGTAACGTGCAGTTGTGGTCTCGTCTGAAGAGTTCTTGCAAGAGCTTGTGTCTGTGTGAACTGGAGGTCAAATACAGTTATGATCTGATGTCAAGGTGGAAAGAAGAGGCTTTTGTGCTGATCTCCTGAATGTCTCAGGAGATGCATTTACTACCTGAGTCTACCACCTTATAACAGGTAGATTTAGAAGGAACTTGTTTAGTATTACCATTTTTATAATGTTGATGTGGTTAAAATTTTAAACAATTTGACACTTTCATGAGTAATGAATAACAGATCTGAAGTATGCACAATAATTTTCAGAGAACACTGTGCAAGTGACTCTTCTTGTTTTGAGCTCTCTCTTGAACGCTCAGTTTTATTCTTTTTTTCTTTTTTTCTTTTTTTAAATAGGAGAAAGGAAGTGTGGGCTATAGACTTGGAAATCAGTGCCTGTGAGAAGGGTGGAGAGGAGAAGCCCTAAACAAAAAACATGAAATGTTTTTTTAACTTTGTTAGTATGGATGTGACAAGTCTGATTTTCAGACTGTTCAAGACTAACTTGAGTGATTTCATTTTTGTTAATATGCATAAGCTACATAATTCTGAACTTCAAAGTTGAAAAGAGTCAAGACAAAGCGTTTTGCTCAGTCTGGAGGAGACCAAGGGGAGACCTCGTTGCGGTCTGCAGCTTCCTTGTGAGAGGAAGAGGAGGGGCAGGCACTGATCTCTTCTCTGTGGTGACCAGTGACAGGACCCAAGGGAATGGCCTGAAGTTGTGTCAGAGGAGGTTTAGATTGGATATTAGAAAGAGGTTCTTCATCCAGAGGGTGGTTGGGCACTGGAACAGGCTCCCCAGGGAAGTGGTCACAGTACCAAGGCTGACAGAGTTTGAGAAGCGTTTGGATGATACTCTTGGGCACATGGTGTGACTTTTGGGGATGGTCCTGTGCAGGGCTAAGGGTTGGACTTGATTATCCACGTGGGTCCCTTCCAACTCAGCATATTTTGCAACTTTGCACTGTTCAAGGGCCTTGTCTGCACTGTACAGTGCAGTTTTAACTAGATCTATGTAATTCTGATGTTAATAGTTTTCATGCGTGTTAGCAGATGGAGGTGAGCTGTGCGGTAGCCTGGGGCATAGCATCCAATCCATGAGCATGTGGGTAAAACTAAGAAAAAATAAATGAAATTGATGTTTTGGTTGCCAGCATAGGATTTTGAGAAGAGCATGAACGATCTGTCTTTATGTAATTCATTAATATGATGATATGTACATGTTTATTTCTCTTGCAGCTTTGGGATATGAATGAAAAATATTGTAGAAATACGATGATAGGTCATGAAAATTCTGTCAATCACTGCAGATTTTCACCAAATGATGAATATGTTGCTAGCTGCTCAACAGATGGAACAGTAAAGGTACACAGTGTATTTTTAAATCAACTGTTTGTTTTGATTATGGATGGGGGTATTTTTGTATAAAATGCAAAGAAAATTTTGTGTCTGCATGATAAGCTTTAATGAATCAAATCCTGAAAGAGTTGGTCCTATTTGTAATGCAGGATTTTTAAATGGCTTGTCCAGTACCAAGAAAACAAAGTTGGCTGCCTGTAGTTTCGAAGAAGTACTATGTAGCCTCATTTTGAATATTTTTCCCCCTGATGCACTTTATTAAGAAAGCTTGAGGGGAGAGTGAAAAATATTTTAACAGAAATAGTAGTAAGTTTTCAGATTAATTGAAAGTTCTGTCATCTCTGAAAATGATTAGGAGACATAAAAGTTAAAAGTAATTTCTATGTGCTGTTGTCATGTATGCACTAGAAGAGAACTGAGAGGCTTATGTGTTTTTCTGAGAATGTATTATTTTTATTGCCTTTGGTTGCAACAGAACTGCTTTTTCAGAACTGCAATTCTTAAAACACTGTTATGTTTCTATGTAGTTGCTAAATCAGGAAAGGAGGATTGCTGTAGCTGTTGTTCAGAAGGAAAAGTGTAGTGAAGGGGTCAGAAATATTCAGTAGATTTTTAGTAGGTTCTTCAGTGAAATTGGGGTGCAAAGCTAGATGTATACCATATTTCTCATGGTGAGTGGACTGTTTATATAGAGTTGCAAGGCAGATATTATTTTTGGGTTTATTCTTTTGCTAAGTAGAAGTTGAGACAGCATTGTACCTGGAATAATATGACGGAAAAAGCCAAGGAGAGGGTTCTGCTGCAGCATAATCCTATTTTCTCTGTGGTTGTTTTTTTTTTTTCTTCTTTTTTTGTCTAAACCATTTGGACTTGTGAATATTCTAATGCTATTTATTGACTGGGGAAAGTAGCAAGGGGCTTTTCGTGTGTAGTGTTCTCTGCCCCTCTCTTTTCCTAGAAGTGATTGTGAGTTAGCTCTCCTCTGTTGTATTCTGTACCTACATCAGTGAAAAGAGATTTCATTTATTTCCTGTTTATTGCAGCTTTGGGCAGCATGCTCAGGAAATGAACTGAAAAGTATTGAGATAAAAGATTTCTTCAAAAATGCAGATGAGCAACCAGATGACGTGGAGGTTTTAGTAAAATGTTGCTCTTGGTCCAGAAATGGTGACATGATTTTGGTAGTAGCCAAAAATAAGCTTTTGGTAAGTACCTCACTTTAATAATTATTTGGAGGTAGTATATTACAACATAAGTAGAAACTACAGTTACTGATGAAATTCCAGGCTATTGAGGTGTTTCAGAGAGAAGGTGTGTGATTTCAAGTGTGTGTAAAAATATGCCGGCAACAAACTTGTGACTGAGATAAATACTTCCTAAATTCAAGAATGTACACTGTTACGCATATAAGCTATTTGTCAGTGAAGTCATTCAGACTGGGTGCCAACTATTTTACTATGTGTTCACAGCTTTTTGATACTGAAACATGTGATTTGTTAACGCAAGTCATCGTCAGTCATCACAGTACAATCCAATACTGTGACTTTTGTCCTGGTGATGAGTTAGTAGCAGTTGCTTTGTCTCACTGTTCTGTTGAGGTAAGTAATTGTCTTTGCTGCAGTATACCAGGAAAGACTACTTGTAATTTAAAATGTTACATTTGTCTTAATAGTTTTTTGTATGCAGAGATAAAACAAATGTAGGTACTTTAGCAGGCTTTCAATGTGCTTCATTCTTTAATTTTTATTTACTTCTGCAATGTAAAGTATCAGCTGGGAAATAATGTTTTGAAGTTACATGTTCATTTTGGACAATGAAACTTATATATAAATTTATATAAAAAGACTAGTGTACTAAATGTATCCAAAGTTACTGTTGTCACTCTCAGGAGTATTGTTTAACTCATACCAAACCAAACCCTCTCTCCTTCTATATGCTGGTACAGATTGTGGCAACTCAATAAAAAGGAAAGAAACATCTAGAATAAGTTTGGGACTAGCAAGGCTAGAGTAAGTCCGTACAGCTATCAGGTTTGGGGTTGGTTTGAGGTGATTGTTGTTGTTTGGGGTTTTTTGGTTTAGCAATCTACATGGTCAAGTTGAACTTCTGTTTTTTTATACTGTGATTTTTTTCTTTTCTTTTGTTTTCACCCCTTGTCTTTCAAAATTATAGCAGTCAAAGAGGCTGCGGATTCAATTTTCCTGACCATTGAAATGTGATAAGTGGGCACAGTTCTTGTTACACCTGATTTCAGAATGAGAATTAAGAAAATACTAGAAGACATAGTAATTAAGTGTACTTGCACTGTTTTTCCTGTAAATGCAATCTAAATTCATGCTGTATTTTTATTGTAGTTATGGAACATTAAATCTCTGTCAAAAGTGGCATATTGCAGGGGACACATGAGCTGGGTTCACTGTGTGACATTTTCACCAGATGGATCTTTATTTCTGACATCATCTGATGACCAGACAATACGCGTAAGATGACTTCTTTCTGTTTTGAAATATGTTAATTTTATTTATATATATATATAAATAAAATTAAATTGTTAGTTTAAGGAATTTTTTATTATAAAGTTATATATATTATATATTGTATTTTGTATGTTTATAGCCAATAGAAATTTAAGTATTTGTATTAAAAAAATTTACATATACAGTAAAACAAGCTGGCTTTTTTACTTTATTTACTGTTTATTTGAATTTCTTTATGTCTACATGATTTTTTTTAAGTCTGGTGGCTCTTCAAGAGTAATTATAGCCTTCTATTTTGTTTTACATTTTATCTGAATCAGGAATTGTGAAGTTTTTTGTGGATCCTAGCAGACTTGATATTAGTTTCATTGTTAGATATATTTGCATGTTAATATTTAGGATAGATTTCTGTAATTCTAATGTCTCATTAAAACCCTGGGAAAGTAGAATTATAGTTTACCAAGGTAACCTTTCCCTTTCTCTCAAATTAACACATACATTTTTGAAATTTTGAAAGCAGTTAGGTGTAGAAATATCTACTTGGTATTTTTTGTAATTGGATTTTAATGCTACTCTTTGGATTAGAAAACTTTGGACTTTATAGCTATGACTCTAAACACAGACGAGTCTCATAGTCATCCTGGAAAAAAAAAGTCCTATTTCATCTGTTGGAATCTCTATAGTGATCGCACAACTTTCCCTAGTATCAAAAATAGCAGAAGCAAGATTTTCACTGTTTTAAAAAAATCAGTGTTACGTCCAAAGTTATAAGCCTTTGATTTACAGGTACTCTTACTCAGCATAAGAGTATAAGTTTTATATCTTATTCTTTAATAAAGCTAATGAAATACTGTGTTCTTCAACAGATCTGGGAAACAAAGAAGGTGTGCAAGTCTTCTGATGATGTGCTGAAAAGTGAACTAGATGTTGTATTTCACAATGGTGAAGTGATGATTTTAGCAATTTATAATCAGAAGCATTTACAAGTAAGCTGTATTTCTCAATATGTGTTTCTCAAATACATTTGAACGTTATCTGCAAATCTCGCTAGGAAACCAAGGAAGCACTGAAAGAACTGCTTGTTCATGTGTTTCAACAGTTGAATCTGTAGCAGATGACTCAATGTTTGATAAGATCTTTATATCTAGAAACTCTGCCTAGTTTAGTAAGTGAAAAATGGAGTTTAAGGGGAAATTTCTACACTAGTGTTGAAACTGAAAGTGGATGCAGAGAAACAAAACTCATCTCCCTTCATGATGCTGTGGGCCCTCCAAGTGGCTTAGATGTGTAGAGCAATGCGTAACGTGTGCAGCACCTATAGACCAGGTGTAGCACCTATAGACCAGGTGTTACACAGCACATCAGAACCCTTGTGTAATACCTGAGGGAATTGTCTCAAATTGGGGCAATGAAAGGTGTGAGCCCAGGACTGCCTATAGCCTTAGATTTGTGCTGAAGAAAATAGTAACAGTGAGTACACTCTTATTACTGTGGGCCCCCCCACACCAAGTGCTAAATACACCAACATCCAAAATATATTTTTCCATTCCATGATAGCCAGTGCATACACATCACCCTTTTTTAAATCATGACTCTCTAATATATCAAATAAAGTCAGGTAATAGGATTTTCATCTCTTGCAATGAAGGACTGAGAGAAACCACAGCAAACGGAGTTATACCTGCTTATGTGCAGGAGCAGTTTAGGACATTTGATACTTTTTAATCTTCCTGAATTGTAACATCTGTAGCAACTACTGTGTAATAGTGTAGTCTGGCTCTCATTTGAATTAGTAGACCTGATCTATATGTTTATAAATAGTGTATTTCTGTTCTAATTTTACTTGAACCATTTTCTAGAGAAAGATGGTGCTTAGATTCTCTACCCTAAATACAATATTCTGACAGCTTGTAGACAGCAGTCATGAGAGGTCTGCAGTGTAGAAAGGCAATAGATTTTTTACCTTTGCACAAGAAGAAAAATTGACTGAAAAGACAGATTGCATGTGTGCTGTGATATAACAGTGTACCTGCTATCACATCTCTCAGAGTTTTTGTTGCAACCGTGTTTTACCTTTTGTAATTTATTGTCTCTCAGAACTGGAGTCCTACTCACCCTTTGATGTGCAATATGTTCATTTTTAAACATTCATTCACACTGATAGCTTTTTAAGCTATGTTTATAAATTACTGTATTCTAAAGATCCCCTCTGCCCCCCGGGGAATTGATTTGAGGACAATACTGAGTTGGGATTTGGTGTATTGTGTGTGCTGGTAAGTTTGAAGTCATGCTTGCAGGATGCACTTAAAGTATTTTATGCTTCATTTGACGTGGGTGTTAAATCTAGCTGGCAAGGTAAATTTGAGCATGAAGCTTGCTATATGGCTTTTGGAATTTGGGAGTAGCATTTTGAGTTACTGTTTCCTGTAGTCAGACAAACTTTAAAAAGCCTTCTAATACTGAGATGAGTTTCCTTCTGCAAACTTGTCCTGTTCAGAGAACACAATGTGGAAATAGTTACACTGACCTTCAAGGCAAGTGGTTTATGAGAGTAACTGATTCTTATAATTTTAAGTTTGTAAGTTTGTACACTGGTCCCTTTGGCATTCCTAGCTCTGTATTTTAATTTATTGAAGTTTAAATTTTAAAATATTGTAATAATTAACTTTCCATCTTACAGCTTATCAATGGAAATACAGACAATGTTATTATGCAGACAGCAGCCCAAGAATCCCCCATTTCCTGCTGTTGCTTAAGTGAAGATCTTAAATTTGCAGCTTTTGGACAGGAAAGTGGAACAATAAAGGTATTAAATCCTAAATTTGATTTTAACAATAGTAGGAAAACACTCTTCTTGGTGCTTTTTAAATATATGTCACTTGAATGACTTTGTACAATAATATTCTTCAACGTAGTAATTCCAAGCTAATAACTAAGCTAATAGGAATTTTTAGTTGTTCTAATCCAATGGCTGAGAATCATATATTTTCAATCTCACGTTGTTTAAAAAAGAATTTGCATGTTCGTGTTTTCCTCGAGTATGTAAATTAGGTACAGTTATTGCATATTTCATTTTAAAGGTACTACAGTTGTCAGATGGGAAAGTTCTGAAGTCCTGGGAGGCCTACAGGACATCCGTGCAGCATTGTCAATTCACATCTGATTGTCAGACTCTCATTTCAAGTGCTCATGATTCAGTTCTACAGGTTTGGAAGATATTTAAAAAGATCATGTTGTAACTTACTGAAAGTAAAGAGCTTTTATACTGTACATAATGTAAACTCAGTAAATGATTACTGTATTCTGTATTGCTCCATGCTGGTGCAAGAGACTGTAAAAACTGCAGCCTTTATTTATACCTTATGTGAGAGTGAATATTAGATTTTCTGTTTTTACTGCTGTGGATGATAGAAAAGCACCAACTGCTTTGAGAAGAGTAAAAGGAGCATTAATTGTCAAACAAAACAACTCAGCAGTTCTGAAGTAAGGGTTTGGGATGTGAGCCAGAGCTGGCTGTATGTGGTAGGTCTGTCAGTGGGCTTGTTTATACTCTCTTAGGGAATGAGGTAAAAAGGCTGGTCTCAGAGCGGGCTTATGTGCTCACCTAGTCCAGTAGAGTGCTGAATACAGATAATACTAGAAATAGAGTGACTGCACTAATGTAGTCTCAAATTAGTAACCTCTGCCTCTCAGCAAGGTAGATTGGCTCTGGAGATGCGTTCTGGTGTGTCCACGTTAGCATTTTAGCTCACCTCAGGGATGCACTTTTGAACATCCTTGTTGTTTTGTGCTTACTGTGCTTTAGTTTGCACTTCAGATCAGCTGCAGCATGCTGACGGGATTCTTAAGCTGGAGCACGTGGTCCGGCTACTAATGAGCATTCAGTCCTCACAACCAAACTTGAGTTTCTCCAGAACACAAATGGATGCTGGTCCTCAGCTTTAGGATCCTTCTCTCAGGCTTAACGTGGGAAGTTTTTCTGCTGGGTCCTCAGCTCCCTCTTGTGGGCAGCGCCTCAGTTAAACCTCCAGGACTGTCACCTGAACACAGCTGCTTTCTATTCGCTCTTTGCAGCAGGAAACCTATCAATTTGAAAACTATTAAATCATTGTCATTTAAAATAAATTGATGCTTAATAGCTTCTGTAAAACAAAATTACACTCATTTTTAAGTGAATAGTCGAATTAAAAATAGAAGTGTCATTTTGCTATAAAAATGCAAAGCAAAATGGCATTTCATTAGAAATGCCCATTAAATATATTAAAGAAAGTTAACTTAAGTATGCAAAATATGAAGTCTGCCAGACAAAATAAGTCTATTTGTTGCAATAATCAAAGGTTTAAAACCCCAAACTTCTCAGGTGCTTATAGGTTATTGGTTTGCATTTTCTTTTTAAATTACCAGTGAATTTTAAGTATCAAATTCACTTTGAAAATCAGATAATATGTGTATTATGGGGACTGTCTCATAGCTTGACTAATAAATTCAGCGGCACCCTCAATCTTCAGCATCTCTACTATGGATCTCTTCAATAGCTAACATTTTAATTAATTGCCACCACCATAAGAACTTTTTGTTAGTCATGTGATATAAAAATCAATCGGTTAGTTCATTCTTCTTAACTTATGTTTGCTGTTACGATTTAAAAAAAAAAAATTTTCATTTTTATAACTAGATATGGAATTGGCAGTTGAGCGAACATGTGTTTCTAAGAGGGCACATGGAAGCAATCAAGGATTTTAGACTTCTGGAATATTCAAAACTTCTCTCTTGGTCATTTGACGGAACTGTTAAGGTAAGTAAAGGGCTGAGAATTGACAAATCACATCAAATATGTTTTGCTTTCTCTTGTAACATTTGGTATTTCCTGCACTTTGTGTGAATTTTATTGATTTGATCATAAAGTGTAAGCTGACTTTAAAGACAAAGTTTTGAATTTTCTTTTTAGTAAGATTTACACTGTTGTTGTATTTTAACTATACCAGTAAGTATAATAAAATGTTTGCCACATTAGAACTAGCTAGCTGAGTTTTGTCTCTTACATATCATTGTGTACGATGCAAGTGTTTTAACCTTTTTACTGTGTTACAAAAGTAACCTGTTTTTCCTGTATATTTGATTAGGTTTGGAATATCACTACTGGAAACCTAGAAAAAGATTTTGCTTGTCATGGAGGTGCTGTTCTTTCCTGTGCTCTTTCACCTGATGGTAGTAAATTTTCATCTACTTCTGCTGACAAAACTGCAAAGGTTGGTTACCTTCTGTACAAAGACAAAAATGATGCCTTATTTGTCCTGAAATGTAATCTATATTTTTTATTTTGAGGTAACTAGTGATTATTCAAGTTATCCTGTTGTATTTCTAGTATTAAATTTCTTGTATCCATCAACATGTTTCTGGAGCTGTTACAGTCATTCACAATTGATCTTGGATATAACTTGAAGCTGTCCTAGTGGCTTATATACAAATAAAATGCATATTTAATGCACAATTTTGTGTGCAGAACACTTTGTTTATTTCTCTGTATTGATTTGTTGATAGCCTGACATTCTTAACTTGTAAAGTTAAGAAAAATCTCTGAAACTTCCAGAAAAGTGCTGTTGATAGGTTCTGGTATTCCTGTTCTGAAGTCAGGTGCACAAAGCAGTGGACTGGGGCTGCCCCATTATATTCTAAAAACATTCCATTAGATTTTTAAAATATAACTTTAAATTGATTGATAAATCTGTTTCTATGATCAATGTTAAACTTCCTTGTGAACAAATTGGGTTCATTAAAAAATATGTTCCAAGGAAAGATATATACTTGTAGTCATTCAGTAATTTGTAGCAAGCACATTCTTGTGTAGTTCAGATAATAAAAAGAAAGCTAGACTAGAGTATAATATATTTACATAAATGCACACACTTATATGCATATATATGAAAAGTCTTATGTACATTTGAATGATAATGCCTTTTAGAAAGAAGTCATAATTGGTTTTGAACTTGTCTTTTTCACTCCTCTGTAATGTTTTCCATTTAGATATGGAGCTTTGAAAGTTCATCTGTTCTTCATGAGCTGAAAGGTCATGAAGCCTGTGTGCGGTGCTGTACTTTCTCTCCTAATAACAAATTATTGGCCACTGGAGATGACAAAGGAGAAATAAGGGTACTTCTCTAATCTTGATGTTTATTTTATAATTCAGGTGATACTCAGCTCACAGACAGAAAAGTTCTTACAGTTTGTGTTCTGCATGTCTAATTCGTTAGCATTGTGGTGAACTTTGGGCGTTGAAAATAGCAAAGTTTGTCACATGAGGCAGTAGTTTGTAAACATATTGATAGATTTATGTTCCATGAATAATAAGGAACCAATTCGCATGATTTACTAATAATTTTAATGAGAATTGCATGTGCGATTAAATCCTCCGTATATGATACAGTTCTAGGCGGAGAATTCTTTTTTTTATTATTTTGTCACTTCAAGGAGAATGCATATTTACAAGAGGTTTTTTTAATATAAAAAAATACATTTCAGATATCCTTATTTTAGATTTTTTTTCCCGTTAAGTTTATTTATTTGCATAATCTTTCTTCTCTTTTAGATTTGGGACATTTTAGCAGGTGCATTACTTCACTTCTGCTCCCCAGTTACTGTAGACGAAGGAGAACCAACTCATGGGGGTTGGGTAACAGACCTCTCATTTTCTCCTGACAGTAAAATGCTTGTGTCATCTGGAGGCTATCTTAAGGTAAGCCTTGAAATAATAAAATATCCTAACATGCCAAATTAAATGGAAACACTCTGTAAATTCTAAAGGAAAATGAAGACTAATTCAAAGAAACAAATCTGAAACATTTTACTTAACACAGAGCTGCTTCGATTTCACTTCTTTCCTTCTCATATCTGCAAGTCCCCTGAAAAGGTCTCTTAAGAATTCAGACTTGTTTTCAAACTCTCTCATTGGTTCAGGCATCTACCACGCATATGTCTTCTGGGAAAGGGAAGAGTTGCCTTTCTTTCAGTCTGTGAATGGTTCTTTGTAATTGTGAATTTCTCATGAGGTTTTATGTTGTTCTTTTTCCCCTCATGTAATAGCCAGTACCAGTTATTAGAAACTCTGTGTGTATGTGAGGTTCTCACCTCAGAGTGACGAAGTTTAGTTTATTATTGGTCCGTGTCTAGCTGTTGGACATGCTATCAGACTAATTCTTTGAAGTCAGTCACTAATCATTTAACAAAGACAGTTGAATTTTCTAGCTTAGCTTTGAAAACATCTTCTGATGTTCATTTCATATTAAAGAACAAGACATACTTTCTGTTTCTAGCTTCCTCCCCATTTTATCTTGTAGTTACGCAGTATGGTGTTGTGATGCTTCTTGAAGTGTAGAATTGTTTAGGATGTTAGGGACTTCTGGAACTCATCTAGTCCAGCCCCTTGTTAGAAGTAGTTTGCAGAGTTAGGTAGAGTTGTTTAGGGCCTTGCCCCGTCAAATATTGTTCCCCAATCCAACAGGGTCACCTCTGGGTCCTGAAAGTAAAGTCTGACTCTGTCATCTCTAACCCTCTTTTTAGTAGTTGAAGACAGCAGTTAACCACCTACATAAATTCAGTGCTCTGTCTCTCTTCTATGGCACCTGTTCTAGGTGTCCAGCCATCTCAATGACCATGGGCTGGACTTGCTCCAGTTTGTCAGTGTTTTTCTTGTACTCAGGTGGGGCTCAACACTCAGTAACCGATCTGCTGGCTACTACCTTTTGAACCTAGCAGTATACACTTAGTTTGTTACCTACCTTGTATTCCACTCATCCAGTCCTTATCTCTCCCATTTTACTATAGGGACACTGTGGGAGACCATGCTGTAGGCTTAGCTGAAGTCAAGGTTATTCACATCCACTGCTCTTTCCGTGCTGTTTGGAGAGCTACCGTTATTGTCAGCAGAAGTCAATTGGGTGGTTCAGCATGATTTATCTTCGGTACAGTTGTGCTAGTTGTTCGGATGACTAGACATGGCTTCCCAAAAACTTGTGCCATAATAATCCCAGACACTAGAGTGAAGATTACTGGCCTGTAGTTCTCAGGACCATCTTTGCTCTTTGTGAAAGTGGGTATGATGTTTGTCTTTTCCCAGTCATGGGACCATATTCAATCACCATGTCTTCTCAAAGTATTGTATTTCTACTTCTCTTTCAAGATCTACAGATGGATGTGTATGATGTGCCTGAAAACACACAGCCATTTTGTAGGGAGATGCTAGTCAGTGAAATTCTAGAACATTTCAGAAGTCTGGACCCCTAAAAACTGGACTGAGTTGTACTGTAGATTTATGTGGATGATACCTTTAAACAAATGAGTTGTCTTAGTCATAGATGAGGTGTATCCAGGTGTGAACTGTTAAACTTGCTGTGGGAGTGGTACCCCCTGACACAGCACCTGATCATTTATTCACCAACAAAGGTTCAGGAGCTAATTAAGATCCATCTTTTGTTTGGTTGGTTTTTTCTTTCTTTTTTTGGGGGTCTTCATCAAATAACAGCCACTTTAGGGACAGTGTGTTTAATCAGAACATTATAGCTGTGTAGTTGCAAATCTGTATTATGCACACAACTGTAATGTTGCATATTTCATGAGATAAGTAAGCTAAAAACTAGTAATACCATCTGCTTTTCTAGATGATCAAAGCTGACGGTAATCTGTTGTGATATTTTGCTGCTTCACTCAAAATTTGCAAGAATAGACGGTAGACTTCTTATTGGCACAATTTGAGTAGCAGCTTGGTGCTGGATTGCGTTTAGGTCAATTTTGCATTGGTCTATAGTTTTTCTGAGAAATGTGAAATTTCAGACTACAGTAAACTGATGGTTGAAGGTTTCTCAGTTTCTTTGCTATTAGTACTTACTGCATATTCTAGAAAATAATAATTAGAAACTGTAATCTCACTGAAAAAGAATTTGGTCCTACTAACAAAACTGTTATTATTTTTTATAGTGGTGGAATGTAACTACTGGAGAATCCTTACAAACCTTCTACACAAATGGAACAAACCTCAAGTCAATACATGTGTCTCCTAATTTCAAAGTGTATGTGACTGTTGATAATCTTGGTATTCTTTATGTATTACAGAAATTCTGATCAGTGTGCCGAACACTGCAAAGATAACTAATTTTTTAAGCTGGAAACAAAATTCTGCTAAATGTTTGTCTGACTCTCATTAAGCTGTGAATTATATTTCATTGTTGTATTCATGATGTTTTCATGTATATTTATGTACATTTATGTGTGTTTTTTCAAATGAAGTTGCATTTAATCTTGGTTTTAATAAGCATTATTATAATCCTTAAATTTTGATTTGCATTTTAAGTATGTTGTTTCCAATTTTGTAAGGAAATTATATTAAGATTTATTCAAATTAGTTGAAGTTAATAGCACTGAAAAATAATAAGATTATAATACTTTGAAATTATATTTTGTGCTGAGGCTGATGGCTAAATGTTCTTTAGTCATGAACACAACTGTATAAGGTGCAAAACCATTTTTTTTTACTGGGATGCAAGGATTTTCACTTTGTACGGAATGGAAAGAAGGAGGGGCATTCTTCATTTGAAATATGAAACCAGCCATCTTGGTGCTTGACATTCAAACCAAATCAAGTAGCTGTTCAGTTTACAGCAGCAGTGCCTCCCACTTGTGGTAAGAATGTTCATGCTTCGAATCTGTGGAGATAAAGTGGATTGTAACACATCTGAGCTGTTCCTATTAAGAGGAACATCCTGAGTCTTGTTTTCTGGAGGAGAAATCTGAAAGGATACTGCAACTGAAGTGGAAGAGATAGTGCCACATTTCCAGTCCAAGGATGAGTACAGCTAACCAGCTAAACTGAGAATGGAAATGGCTTAAAAGCTGTGTATTGAAAAATATAAAAAAGGTGTGAATTTAATAGTTTTTCTTTTCTTTTGGATTTAAAATTCAGTTTATACTATGGAGGCACTTTGCTGTCGTCAGCTTTGTTTACATGGGATTCTATGCCCAGTTGATCTCTTGCCTGGTAGTATGTGATTTTTTTTTAATTTATTTTTAAAATTTTTACAGTCTATTTATAGATTCCGTATAGGGTAGAAATATCGACATTTTGTACTAATTACACTTGACAAATGTTTTGTGAATAATTAGGTAACAATTTTTTCTTAGATACATAGTAAGCCTTTTTCTAGTCAATCGCCTCTCAACTGCTGTAAGCAACTGCACAAGCATTAATATGATTTTCATATTTTTGTAGCTGGCAGTAAAACACTGTCTAACAACTTGATTGTAAAAAGTACGGTAGCAAGTATCTCAACTGATACTGAATAATGAAATTCTCACTTATAGTATTTTTTGTGTGCATTTCAGAAGATTTCATATGCATTCTTAGTATTTCCCTGTTTTTGACAATCACCAGTTTTTCCTCTTTTTTAACTTGAAATTCTGCTATTTCTAAGGTGCTGTTGAATACGGGTCAGTATAATCAAAATACTGCTGGCAGATATGTAAAGAGAAGAAATTAAATGAAAAAGAACGTGATGTTTTGTTTTCTAAGTGTGTACAATATTCAATAAAGATAATCCAGGCAATACTGGCCAAAGTTATAAATGAATTTGAATTCTTGAGTATTTCTTAATACATAGAAAGGGAGAGAGGGAGTGCTGCCTCTTTTATTGTCTTTCACTGTGATTTTATTTTCAATCTAAACATAATGATACTTTACAAATTACATCAAAAATACTTTGAGAGGTTAGCAAGAGTATTAAATATGAGCATGGAGGAAAAAGTGAACTGAAGTCCTGGAACATGTCCAGCAGTGTTCAGGACAGAGTTGTTTCTACTGTCTAGTTTGTACAAAGCCCATCAGTACCTCCCTGAATAGCTGAAGAATCATGGAACAGAAAGCTTCTCTCAACAAATATTCCTCGATCCAAGATGTGGATCTGTGCTGTCCTTATTGCACAGAACCCTGTTGACTGAACTTAGAGACCAGTCCAGGTTAAGAGATACAGGATAAGTGTTTCCTATGAGGAACCAACGCAGAAAGTTGTCTTGTGTGAGAACACTAATTAAACCCTGATGATAGGAAAAACTGATCATGGTTTAATGCAGAAAGTAAATGGTGCATGAGCAGAGTTTATAGATGTTTGCAATGTTGAATGAGTAGGAAGCAAGTAGCACAAAAACTTGAAGAAATGTGAGATGAATACTGCGTTCTTGGATTGTTCTGGAAGGATGACAGCGCAGCAGCATTTTATTTGTTGTTGGAACTGAGGAAGCTGTGTTTCATAGAAGGTAATGTTAATAGAGTTGGGGTGGTTGCGATCACATATGTAAATGTATGGAGTTGGCTGTAGGTGTTTATAGTTGAGGTGGAAGAAGAGAAATAGTGATGAAAAAGTCTGAAGAGCCAAAGAATAGATCTGATTCGCAGGGAGAGGATGAAAAAATTCAAGTGAAAAATTATTACAATAGGGACCAGAACAGCAACTTCTTTAATTTAAAATGTTTAAGAAGACAGTTTACTGTAATAAAAAAGTCTTCCTGTATCATCAGATTTAGCTGTTCTCTTTGATGTTAGATGTATTTTAAAGGAAACAGGAAATTTGACTAGAAGCAATTTTTATGGACATTGGTATGTAGATTGGACATTAGTGCTTCCATTAATTCTTGTAATGTCAGATCAAACTGAATGAGTCTGCATTCAAATTTAACTAATGAGCATTGCCAATTTTATCTAGTTTTTTAACTTAAATTATAATATGCTTTAATGTAAACAAGTTTTAGGTACAATTCCTATTAACCATGCCTATCAGTTTCTGTAGAAGTTTTGGTTTCTTGACTTTGGCAATTAGACTCACAGCTCCTTCACAAATCTCTTTTTTCTCTTTCCTTGGGAACTGTACCTAAGTGTGATACATCTGCTCAAGAGGATACCATTCCTTTAACTACGGTGTTCTCCTTCCCCCTCTCTTATCTTACACAGTCATTTGAAATAGAACTGTGCCCTTACTGTCTGAGTTTTTTCTGTATAAAGGTTTATAGATCTCTTGTAGTGCTGGAGTGTGGAGTTAGAGCTGGAACTGGTAACCTGTTCCCAGTAGAGGGACATCCCCCCAACCTAAAATTATTTTGCCTTCTTTAGAAAATGATGCAGTTAAACTCCCTATTTTAGAATTCTGTGCAAAGTGCTGGCTTGTTTGTTTTGGGGTTTTTTTACCATTTTGAAATTTAGTGAAGCCTCTGTGTGGGACCCTGTTCCCCAGGTTGTATCTAGATATGACATAGTCTGTGTCCTTATCACTGCTCTCCTGAAGTGTTTTTACAGAAGCTGATGCCTTTGCAGGTTTCAGGGAAAAGCCAAGCTGAGAAAGCACTCTGACTCAGGTGGTTTCTTCTGCCCTTCTGGAACAGAACATTGCAGCGAGACCAGTTCCACCCATCTACAAGAAGCCGGTAAATCCAGAATACCAGTAGGTCACATAGAATTCAGGTATGTTCTTGCAATTGCTAATAGAACATAAACCCTTACTGAACTATTTGGTTGCCCTTTCTCCTTCATAGCAAGTACAGATGCCATGGCAATGCCAAGGAGTGGAAAAGTCAGCCTTGGGGATGTATTTCCCTCTGGTAGCACACTCGGGTGTATTTGTCCATATTGTGCTTTCCTCCTCCTTGTTTCTACTACTGAGACATAAGTTTAGTTGGGCTCATACATGGTTACAATGATGCCCAAGAGCTCTGAGGACTTGGGACACCTTATTTCTGTTGTGATTTCAAGAAAAGCAGAAGCCAAATGACCTTTACTGTTTGGAGAACAGGGAGTGTGCCAGATACTCCGAACACTTCTGGTGTGGTTTTGGGTTTTTATTTTTTCGTGCTCAATTTCACTTTGCTCTTTCAGGCTAGGAATGCGACACAGTCACTGACTATGCCAATATGCAGTAAGATGTTAAACTGAGACTAGGCTTGTTTGTGGCTGGAACTCTGCAGTAGATTGACCTGTGTTTTTCAGCACTTCTAAAGCTGTTGTGCGGTGTGCTGCTTCCACATTTGTGTTGGTGTGGGGTTTTTTTGGGGAGGTGGGCAGCAGTGGGTTTGGAATGTGGATGTTGGATTTTCTTGGCTTTTAAGTATGTTTTTTTCCAAATTAACTTACTGCACATCTTTCTTCTAAAAGGCCTTTTAATGAGAAACCTTGCAAATAGATTTAGTAGAGGCCTCAGCTGGGACTGTTAGGGTGCATCCCAAAAGAATATAGAGGAATAAGATTTTAAGTCTGCATGTGTTATTGACAGCTTTATCACTTCCTGCAGTTAGACTTGTGGGATATAGCACAACTGTGATAATTGGACTGGTTGAACTGTTGAAGTGGCATGTGTGTGTTTGCTCAGAAGAATGAGAAAGCTTAAGTATCTTAGAAGTGTTTCAATAAGCAGTTTCTCTCTTGGGCCCTGACTGTTAGCAGAACAAATTAGCTTCCCGTGCTTGTTTCCATTTAACAAACCATACATTGTATGTACAAGAAGTGCTCTGAGAACAGTTAGATTCATGTCCTTCAGGCTAGAGAGGATTCTTGTTCTGTACTCAAGAGGGTTCATCCGAGTACCTACTTAGGATGGCACAATTATACTCCGTGTGCTTATGTGGTATATTTCATTTCTTACTGTATTGACTTCTTTCAGTTTATTTGTCTATCTTTCTGATTTATTTTTAGCTTTGTCCAGTTTCTCTAATAACATGTGAACTCAGATGAATTTTGAAAATCATGATGTTTAAAATGACTCAAAATTAGGCAAAGACAAATTTACCCAATCAAACTGTATAAAAGTAAACATGATGCTTCTTAGATAAAGCATGTGTTATTTGTAATGCATAAAGGCATACAAAGTATGCTTGATATTTAAAATACCTTTTAAACCTTTTATTTCATGTTACTTTTCGAAGACATTAGGTTCTTTTAATTCTTCTCTATAATTGTATAGAAAATTTAATTTCTGTAGATAACTGGTACTTTCTAGCACATGAGACCAGGGATCTTGTACTTCTAAAAATCATATTATTTGCCTGTAACATTCTCCAAAGATAGCGATAACTGTTCCATACTCCTCTTCCTCATTAGGGTCAGTATTTGGGTTTATGTGTGCTAAGAATTTGTAGCCTGCTGGTTCAAACTCTCACCATACTAATAAGAAATCTTAGTCTTGACTTGTTTTGAGAGCAAGTTTTCCTGTCCCAGAGACATAATGGCAGGGACATTTCTCTCTGTGCTTCCCAGTTGGAACCACTTAAATTAATCTTTTAATATAATGCTGTGATCAGTATTGACTGTTGTTTATAAGCCTCTCAGCAGAAGTAGTGTAGGAAAAAAAAGATTAAGGAAAACTGAAAAATATATTTTTGTTTTAACAGCACTGAAATAATACGAGAGGAATGGTGTACTTCTAATGTGAGAATTGGAAATGCTTAGAGTTTTGTGTTTTTAACAGTTTTTTTGTTCATGGTGTACATGAGGGTTTTTTTGTTTGTTTAGGTTTGGGTTTTGTGGTAAAGATTAGATAAATGGACAGACATAGGCATAGGCCAGTGGAAATCTATCTTTAAATACAGATCAAAAATTTTGATCTTAAGAATCCAATCTGAAGTGGATAGTCATGTCTTGATGGTTGAGCACTCAGTGGTAATGTAAGATATACTTTAAGATGTTGGTAGCTCCTAATTTTTTCAGTGTATTTGCATGACTTCTTACAAGGTGCTGTGGTGTTTATATTCAGTACAGGATAGCAATTATACATTTTATATTTCCAGCTGAGAGACTGGAGGAAATGTGTGGTCTTATCAATGTGACTTAAACTTCAGTACTGAGAAATTGAAGGAGGAAGAGTTTCAGAGTTTGAACAAAAGAAATATTGCTTAAATTTTACCTCTATTTCAGTATATATTCAAAAATAGCGTTAAAAAAGGCTGAGTGTGCCTGAATTTTCAAAATATTTAAAGAAATAATAGTGCCAGATGTGGCACTCTCAATTTCACAAAGCCAAAGAGTTGTTTTTCTACCCCAAAAATTATAGAGAAGATAGTAATTTTTAAAAAAATATTTCTACAGTATCAATAATTCAGCTATTAAATAGCTGTTCTGACTCAGCAGCTGGTTTTTTATATTCTGGAGCACTGGGTTTGAGGTAGATCTCTTGAGCACACATTCATTCAAAGGAATGTTTAAGGGACCAAGCTGAACTTGTGGGAGAATCATTTTCCAGTGCAAGGCTGTAACAGTGAATACCTGCCAGAGACAAGTACAATGCAATAGAACTACATGTGACTTGGAATGTACTTCATAGTATATCTTGAGCATTTAAATTTGGTTAAAAATATATTAAACACAGTAGAAGGCAATAAGCTAGAAGTCTACCAATTCAGTTGCTTTATCTCCTTTTCCCAGAAATATCTTTGTTCAAAGGGTTAAACTTTTGGTTGTGGTAGATGTGGAAAAAATAAGTTTATTCCTTGAGTTATAGTCTACTTCTCCTCCTAAGCTTCTACTAGCTGTGAAGCTCTTTACACGTTGCAGTTTCTCATGCTGCTTGTACCCCTCATTACAT